CAGTCTTCATTGATAAATGTGAATTAAACCAGTGTTCTCTTTCATTTATTTTTTTATTGAGGTATCATAGCTGACAGTACTACTAAAGTTATTTCCTATTTGCAGAGATACTACACCAATTCCTTCCAGTATTTCAGGGTCCCTTCTCCATTATTACACATAGAACAATGTCCTTCAACAACTGTTTCATAGACCAATGCTCATCTGCAGGTGTAGAAAGGTTGATCTTTGATCTTTGATCTACCAACTAGGTTATAACTGTTGGTGGACTGCTATGACGGATAGGTGCTGATCCACAGACTGAAAGAGGTTGAAGAACAGTGAGGTAGACACTGGATAAAATAAACCCATACATGGAGCATGGATAGAAAAGTGAAGAAAAGTGGAGAAGGGATGAATCATTTCTTGGGAGCCTTTTCTCACTTCCTCCTTTGGAGACTGAGTCATGAGATCAAAACATGGGAGAATGTTCAGCTCAGGGTTTGCAGGCCACCCCTACCCTTCTTATCAAACCTAATACAATTGTCCGAATACTAAGTTTCTTTCTGAACCTTTATCTTCCTCTGATAGTTCCTAGACCCAGGTTGCATATTTTACTAAGGTGAGAGGGATTCAAGGGAGAAACCTGGTCATGTTTAATGACTGCATAAATGGAGCAATGCTTTGAACCTGTGTCTGTTGCAGCTGTATCAGTGCTTCCCAGGTTGTTTTTAATTTTTTGCAATTTATAAATTTCTGCAAGTTGCTTTTCATGACTTTGGAAGTCTCATTTCCCTCAAAACTTGACAGTGAGTGAAGCATAGATCAAAAGAAATTTGACTACATTTCTTTTCCTTAGTAATAATCACCTTGGTGAATCGTGACATGTTTTGGAATCTGTGGGTTATGCTTTTCATTAATGTTCACATATCATACGGGAAAAATAGTTGGATTCTGTCACTTCTTTTGGAGGGAGCAGAGGGATTTGGCCACAACAGGGGTGCTCAGTGTGTACTCCTAGCTCTGCACTCAGGGATCACTTCTGGTGAGGGATAGGGAACCATATATGGTGCCGGGAAGCAAATCTGAGTCTACTCCATACAGCCAAGGACCCCACCCACTGTACCATCTCTCCAGCCCCTCTGTCACCTAGTATTTGGAAGATTGACAGGGTAGGTTGCTATGACAAGAGGGGAAGTGTTTTTGTATGGAGGAGGATCTCTTCATTCTTTCGCTGACATTCCAACTGTCGCTATAATGGTCCCCGAGAGCCTATTTCACACACCTATTTTTCCTAAAGATTTGTAATTAGAGAAGCATTAGATTCACATGTATTAGGACTTCAAGAAATTTGACTGGTGTTTCATTACTTCAACTAAATCTTATTCGATTATCCTCATAAGTAGCTCTTGACAGAGCCCCAGTTCAACACACCACATCTAGGAATTGTGCTCGTCTTTTAATTGATCAGATCTTCACCTTGATTTAAAGTTTTAAGCCAATCAGAAATAGGGCTGGAATGGTACGATCTGTCATCTGCACCGATTAATAACTCTGAATGAGTATTTCCTTTTAGAAGTTTATTGCAAATGATGAACTGACTGCATTTTGTGTAATCTGTCCCCTTTTGCACCAGAATGCAGTAAGTATGAACTGTTTGCAGTGGCGCTCTGTTGCATGCTCCCGTGTTAATAGCTTCTCCAGCTGTGTGAATTTCACAGTAAATGGCCTTTGATTAACTATGTGAAATACAGAATTCAGGAGTGTTTTTTCCTCCTCCTTTTAATTGTGAGGAATGTTAACTTGACTCCATCTATTATGCTTTAAGTGTGAAGCTTTGCCTCTGGTTCCTAATCTGCTTGTTGTGTATTTCATAGTCTTGTTCAAGAAATGTACTGCAAACTGTCCACAGAATGGGTCTAAAGATGCCATTTTCTCTTGCCTTCTTCCTCCTCATTGATTTTCGTTTCAAGATTCAGCATAGTTTTGTTTAAACAGCTTCATGGGCATAGACTTGACAAATAATAGGAGATATTTATTCTATGAATTTATTTTCTTAAATATCAAAAAATGAAAAAGTTCAAATATTTTTGCATATAAGTCATTAAAATGTATTATGTTTTCTTTTTGTGGTAATGGTATTACATGAGGAAATATTTTACCAGAGCAAGAAAACCAGACATCCTCCTATATGAAGTGGACTTATGCCCATAATAGTACTATAAGGCATCTGTACCAATTGACTTCAGTTTTTGTTAAGCTCTGAGGATTGGAACACATGATTTTTAAAATTTTATGGGAAATGAGTACTAGGAGGAAATCCCTTTTATGTCTCAGACTAGATTTGTTCCAAAGATTAGTACTAAAGTACGCACATCGGAAAAACTCTTCAGGGATTAAAAATTTTGAAACAACTTTTTAATCCTTGACTATGTTTTAACATTAAAAGATCAACACTGGTGTCATTTATGGCTGAGAATTAAAATTTTCCTCAAATTAGTGACTTATTCACAATTACAGTATACTGAACCAACTTCTAGGGAACAAAAATATTGTCAGATTTATTATTGTAAATATTTCAAGATTTGTCTTCGGTGGACTACAGTTTCTTTTGATAGATGAACTTTAAAAGTACTTAACCCTTTAGCTTTCATCATTTCTGTAGAGCTGAAGATCAGTTGCTTGTATTCATAGGGTGTGGCAAATTTCATTTCTGCCATTGCACATAGACTTTCATAACCTCCCTTCAGTGAGAGGGTGATGAGTCAGTCAGGTTTTCAGTGATGGAGTCATACCATTCCTCACTCCCAGCACCACTCTTTGTAGAGGTGTGGAAAGGTGGGGGTAGAGGTGAAAATAGCATTTGGTTACCTGATCTGCCTCTTCCTGGATGGTGTAGTTCATTGGTGAAGTGTGTTTACACAGAAGACATGCATTTTGTGTGTTCGCTATGTGCAGCAGTATGTCGGGTCCTGTGAATTGTTCACGACTGGTGTGGGCATGACTCTTTTCCGTCAGGATTAATAGGAGAAAACATGATGTGAAGGTGAAACCCCTGAGAATGATGACAGGTAAATGTGTGAATCTTATGAGAGGACAGATTGTTCCTAGCTAGGGATATTTTGATGTGTTTAATCCCTCAGGTTCCCATTTTATTCCCTCATTCACCCTCATTCTCGAATCAAATGCATTTATTGACTACACACTAGATAGATATAAGGTGCTCTGTAAGGTATGGGTGCACTTCATTGAAGTACACATAGCCAACTGTTGCCTTAAGAATTCAATCTTAGTGAGGCAGATAAATAGGAAACTAATCTTATGTGTATCCAAATATGCATAGATAGCATTTTTTTTCTTTTATCTTTTGAGAACTGGTGCTGCTCAGGGCTTACTCCTGGCAGTGATTAGGAGACTATATGGGGTGCTGGGGGGGATTGAATTGGGGTTGGCAGCATGCAAGGCAAGCACCTTAGCCCCTGTATGATTTCTCCAGCTCAGCATAATTTTTTAAAGGGCTGGTGTATAAGAGTCAAAATGTGGGATTGGACCTCAGTGAGAAGGAATCCGTAGTTAGATGAGAAAGACTTTCTTGAACTCTAAAGTTTCAATTTTCATTTTTTAAAAAACTTCAATATATTTTTGTTCCATTTTTTTTCAAAATTTATTTTATTAAAGCACCATGAGTTACAAAGTTATTCATAGCTGGGTTTTTACATACAGCATTTTTATCATTGATCACACCACCAGTGTCAACTTCCCTCGACCAGTGTTCCCAGTTTCTCTCTCCTACTTCCTGACCCAAGCCCTAGCTTGCCATCCATTTTTTTATTTAATCGAATCACAATTTCGTGACATACAGTTACAAAGCTTTCATGATTGAGTTTCAGTCATAACATGATAGAACACCCATCCATCCCTTCATCAGTGTACATTTTCCACTAGCAATGTCCCCAGTATCCCTCCCGCCACCCTCACTTTTACCCTAATCCCTGCCTCTATAGCAGACAGTTTCCTTCTTTTTCTCTCTACTTTTGGGCATTATGGTTTGAAATACAGATACTGAGAGACCATCATGTTTGGTCCTTTGTCTACTTTCATCACACATCTCCCATCCCGAGCAGTCCCTCCAACCATCATTGACTTAGTGGTCCCTTCTCTATTCTAACTGCCTTCTCTCTTTCCTGCCATCTTGACAGGCACTTTTTAAGTTTGGCTATTAAAAGCACATGAAAATATTCTCATCATCACTTATTATTAGGGAAATCCGAATCAAGATAACAATGAGATATCATCTCACATTGGTGAGAATTGCACATATCAAAAATAATGGGAACAATGTGTTAGTGGGGCTGTGGTGAAAAAGGAACTTTCATCTGCCGTTGGTGGGAATGTTGTCTGGTTCAACCCCAGTGGGAACCAGTATGGAGGGTTCTCATAAAATTGAGCTGACGTACAATCCAGCAATTCCACTTTTGGGTATCTATCCCCAGGACAGAAAAGCATTCATCCAAAAGAACATATGCACATCATTATTCATTGTAGCACTCAGTACAATAACTAAAATTTGAAATCAGCCCAGGTGTCCAACAATAGAGTAGTAGATCATGAAGATGTGGTATATATACACAGTGAAGTACGATGCAGCTGTAGAGCTTCAGCTTTAGAATGGAATAAGGAGTTGATTGACAGATTCTTTGAATATCACTGTTATAGTGTCTGAGTCTTCAAAGTAAAAGTATTTGAAAAATGTTGTTTTCATATGTGGGGTACTTCTTTGTCAACCGAAAGTCTTCATCTTTCCAATACTGCATCACTTGTGTATACTTCAATACTTTTTTTTTCCCCTTTGGTTCACAAGTCATTTCTGAAGTGCCCGTGTGATGTGCAAGCCTCTGTCTCAGGAGCCATGTGCTAAGCCACAGTTAAATTGCAAGCCAGTGTGTGATGTTTTTGTAGATTGAGATATCGTCATGTCATTGATACAGAGTATAAGATTTATTTTCATTTTTTTCCCATAGGACAACAGCTTTGAGCAGTTCATTATTAACTATTGTAATGAAAAGCTGCAACAAATCTTCATTGAACTTACACTTAAAGAAGAGCAGGAAGAGTATATACGGGAGGTACAGTTGAAACTTTAAAAATTATTCTTATAATGGTTTGTGAGACCAGCATATATGACCCTAATATCAGATTTTTTAACATGTAACCATATTGTGTCTATGTTTTTTGGGGATATGATATATAAGTTTATTCAAGATGTTCTTGCTGCTGTGCTACTAGTATTCCAAACAATAGTCAACACATAGTAGTAGGAGCTCAATTAATGTTATTTGACAAACTAAGGTCTCATTGGATGCCAATACAGTGATATAAAATATAGTGTGGTGAAAAAATAGTCTGAAGTGAATGCAGGAACAACAATGGTCAATTTCCATATGAGGAAATAAAAAGGAACAAACTCCATTAACACAGATGACTCTTAGGTGCTTTATACTAAATAAAAGACATTGTGCTCAAAAAACTATGTACATTCTAGATAATTCAATTTCCATGTGGTTCTGGTGAGGGCAAAGCTGTAGAGATAGTAGTCAGCAACCATGAGAGATTTTGAGTGCTAAGCTGTTGGAGGGAATTTGGAGGACTAAATGTGCTGATGGTTATGATATTTTGCTTTCCCAAAATGCAAGAGAACTATATATCCCAAACATTGTGTCACTGTTTTATATAAATTTGGTATTTGAGTTTTATTTAATCTTAAAGATGTTGATTTCCTAAAATTTCCTAATGAAACTAGGTAATATTTATTGAGCACTTACTATTGTCAGACATTGTTCTGATGTTCTGTATAAATTATCTCATATACTATAATTTTAAAATAGTCAAAAGTAAAGCTTACATAGTCCTTTCAACCTTAATTCTAAAACATACATGATTTTCACTCTTCATTATCTTAGAAATAATTTGAATTATTTCAGTATATCTGTATTTTTGTTCTTTCCATTTATTTGTTTTAATCCTTTAGGAGTTAAACCTTAAATAATTTTCTTTATTTTTTTTATAGTGTCTCATTATCTCATGAAGGACATTATATTCTCTGGTTCTCATTGTAGGTTTTTATAATTTGACTAATCCCCAGTGGTTTAGTAAAATAATCCATTCACTTAAAAGCTAAATCATAAATGCTTCATCTGTTTTAGAAACGTTTTACACTTGTCTGGCACCTTTTGGTAACATAAACATCCTAAAAGCCAGATTCATTCTCTTCCTGTCTTCTCATCATAAAGAGAATGCCCAGACTTTGATCTGTTACTTAAAACAGTTTGTCTAAAACACTTCTAAGAGTATATAGGAAGATTCCTCACTTGCCGTATGAATGAAATTTCTTCCTCTTGGAAGAAAAAGCCGTGTTTACACTTACGGGCAGGCGGGTGAGCAGATGCAGAAGGATTGTCTTTGGCAGTGCAGATTTGGCTTTGTAGCGAACAGTAGATTCAGTGCACAGGTTTTTGTGAGTCATTATGTTTGAACAACTTTGACTTAGCACTTGACTTTTTTTTAATGCTGAAAGAATTAACTGCTCCACGGCATGGGACTGGCTAAAATTAATTTTTTCTTGTGATTACAAATTAAGAACAGAAACATCTAGGCCCAAGATTCTTGGGATCAAGTTCTGACTTATTTCCTTATAAACATTGTAAATATACACAAAGTAATATTGACCCAAGGGCTTGTTGAGTAAATGCTTGGCTCCAGGCCAGGGAAGTGCATGGGAAATTGCCACAGATGGGAGAGTGGAATGGGAGACAATCCCAGGGCAGGTCAAGGGTGCACATTTCAATCAGATCATGTTGAGGGTGCATGGCTGCACTAAGAAAGTTTTGGGAACTAGAAAATGGTATTTATGGTTCTAAAGACAGTGTTTTCTAAAGACAGTGTTCAGAAAGAAAGCAAAGTGTGGTTAAAGGAGCAAAATCCTCTTACAGACAGTGGTTTTGTGGCATCTTTCTGTGAAATTTGATTTTTTTCTGTCTTGTTTTTCAGGACATAGAATGGACACATATTGAGTATTTCAATAACGCTATCATTTGTGATCTCATAGAAAATGTGAGTACTGAGTATGACTTTTTAAAGAATTTCTTAGCATATGATACACTCTTTAAATTGATTTCTCTGCTTTTAATGTCAAGTTTTGGTATGTTAACACCTGTTGTATTCCAGTGACTTTTTTTATACCCTTTATTAGTCCTTCACAGTCCTTATGTGCACACAATCGGACATTTTGATAATTAGCTAGTATCATTCAATCCTGCTTCCTGGCACAGAGCCTGTGCATGATAGTCAGATACCCTGAGCTATTCCGGTCTTACCAGTGTGCTAGGAGCCCAGGTCTGATTCCCACCCAGCTCCTGGGAATGTGAGTGTAAAGCAGAGGAGCTGACATAAAGACTGGGCCAGATGAAACATTTGTTGAATGTCTTAAGAACTTTAGCAGCCTTTTAAAATATTATTCAGTGGGGGCCAGAGCAATAGTAGGGCATTTAACTTACATGTGGCCAACCCAGGGTCATCCCTGGCATCCCATATGGTCCCCCAAGCACCGCCAGGATTAATTCCTGAGTGCAGAGCCAGGAGTAACCCCTGAGGATAGCTGGGTGTGACCCAAAAAAGTAAAATAAATAAATAAATAAAATACTATTCAGTGGATATTATCAACAAGATAATTGTTTGTGAGGATACAGAGAAAAGGAAACCCTTTATGCATTATTGATAGGAGTAAAATTGTTGCAGCTGCTATGGAAAACAGTGTGGGCGTTTCTCAAATTAAAAGTGGAACAATCATATGATCCAACAGTTTACCTTATGGATATGTTTCTAAAGAAAATGGAATTGGGGTATGGGAGAGGTGATAACTGTATTCCCTAGTTTATTGCTACATTATTCACAATTCGAAGCATGGAAGCAACATAAGTTTCTACAGATAAATGAAGAAGGTAAGGTATATGAGTATATATAATAAATGTACATATATATTTTAATGGAATATTCAGCATTAGAAAAAAGGCAGTTCTGCCACTGATAACATGAATAAACCATGAGGGCTTTATGCTCAGTAAAATAAGGAAGACCGGAAGAGACAGGTATCATATATTACTGCTTTATGGAATCAAAAAATACCAAACTCATGGGACTAGAGTAGAGTGGTGGCTGCTAGGAACTGGGGGAACGGAAAGGTGTTGGTCAAGGGTTTAAATAGTTACATGAAAAATCAGATCTGGGCATTTACTGTACCAAAACGGTGAATATTGTCATAGTGAATACAATATGGCTGGATTGTATCTCAAACAGTGAGGCAGTAGATCATAAATATTCTAATGCAAAAAAGGTAATTACTCCTTCATGATGGAAATGTTAAATAATAATACCTGTAGGGTGACATTGCTCTGTCCTTTCTCTCTTGCCATAAGGAGTTTAGGTTTATCAGGTTATACCCATCACTGTGCTCCAGAGTCACTCCTTCGTTTATCTGTAACCACTTCTCTATCCTCTCTTCCCCAGCCAGTTAATCAGCTTTCCCCCCTAATCTATATCTGTTCATTTCTAAGGTCAGATCCTTCTAGGACACTGAAATTTTATTGTAAGTTAATATTTCCTTTCTCCTCTCCTTATGTCTTTTGAATAGTTTACTTTGAAGCAAATCATGTCCTTTTTTTATAGATACAAGAAGACCATTAATATTATGCTTTGTAACTTAGGATTTAATTGGCTCTGAATATTATTCACTCCCAGGCATCTGCTTTCTCAACTTAAGCCTCAGTTGCTCTTGTTTCCTAACACCCCAAAAGCAGGGTCCCGACAAGGGACTGAATGGACCCAGGGCAAGCGGTGAGCTACCCTGGTATTGAAATGGGCCAGGCCAAAGTGCTACGATTCTTTTTTTTTTTTTTTTGCTTTTTGGGTCACACCTGGCGATGCACAGGGGTTCCTCCTGGCTCTGCACTCAGGAGTTACTCCTGGTGGTGCTCAGGGGACCATATAGGATGCTGGGAATCGAACCCGGGTCGACCGTGTGCAAGGCAAACGCTCTACCCGCTGTGCTATCTCTCCAGCCCCAGTGCCATGATTCTTAACTATAAGTTAAGAGCTTGATCATAGACAAATGCTGTCATGATCCAAAAGTAACAATGACCCTGCTAGGGATAGGAAAGACTATCTGGCCTGAGCATTGTAGTCTGAGATCAAGACGTCCCTAGAAGAGCAATTCTATAAGCTTAAGTATTTCTTACTGTATCCATACAAAATGATTTATATTATGTATGCTTATATGTTTGTTGGACAAGGAGAGCAGAAAGACACCCATGGGATTCTGCTCTAGGGTGTGTTGTCCTGCTGAGAGAGTATCTGTCCTAGAAGCAGCTTTCCCTGTGGGAAAGAACTTTACCCCTGTTGATTGTGACCACACCTATGTGTAAGCCCCAGTTCCTCATGCTTTGGGATATAACTAGTCTGTTAGAGTGGGCTGAGGGATCAGGATCCAGACTCCAGAAGGAGAAGGAGAAAGGGGATCCGGATCCAGAATTCAGAGCGAGAAGGAGAATGAAGGGGAATCAAGGAGGAAAATGAAGTAGCATGGGGGAGGAAGAAGCAGGAGGAGAATCAGAGGAGACTGGAGATGGGAATGGAATAAACTGCAACTAAGACCGACCAGCCTGGCCCCCGTCTCCTTCCTTCGCCTGCCCATCGCCATCAACCTCCCCGGGGTAGGGGAACAGGTGTGGGACTACCGAACACCGGCAGCAGGAGAGATAGACCTCCACTGCTGCCATCCTTTTTTGAGTTTACACAAATACCTGTGACATATTCCATATGCCGAACACAGTGACAAGTGTCACAATGTACACGTTACTGGACCCTCTTGAGCAAATCAATGAACAACCGGAGGACAGTGACTGTGACTATGGTAGTAATCATTTTTCAAAGATCACGATCACGATCATTCTGTTGTTCGTCGATTGCCTCAAGCAGGCACCAATAACGTTTCCTTCTTCCTAGTCCTGAGATTTTAAAAGAGCCATATTCAATGCTCTTTCAGGGTTAAGAGAATGAGACCCATCATTGTTGCTGGTATTTGGCATATTAAGTACAACGCGGGAAGTTTGCCAGACTCTGCCTTGCGGGCAGGATACTTTCGGTAGCCTGCTGGGTTCTCCAACGGAAAAATGAGATAATAAGATGTCATGCAGCAGTGTACTTCCGGGAGCTAGGTTTTATAGTCTCTGTGTCTTGGCCATTGATGGGACCAACCTGGCGCTGGCGGCAGCTGGTGGGTGTGATGCCTACCTACTGGAAAATGGGGGATCTGGGTGGAGAAGGCCCAGTCCCAATCCAAGCAGGCTTGGAGATCTCAGCCCCGGGACCCGCATGCCTGGGTTCCTCTGCCAGTTCCTTCATGCATGAGGCTTGTCCGGTCATGTGGAAAGTGGTCTCAGCATGGCTGTGGCTGGTTCTGGAGGTCTTTGGCTGCAGGGGCTCTGCTGGGGGGGGGGGGGGGTGGGAGGAAAACTCAACCCGCCTCCCTCCAAGGGGCCCTGGTGAGGATAGCCAGGCATGGGGGCAGGAGACTGTGATGTTCTCTTCTGGGAGTTGGGTTTTATAGGGTTTTCAAAGTATGAGTGTATCAAATTAATAAATTGAACACACCTTAATCTTTACAGTGTAAAGACCAGTTGCATCTCAGTAGAACTGGAAAAAATATTAAAATCAACCAAACTATGGTGTTCAAATGAAGACAAAGGAGGATAAAGGGATGCCCTTCAGAGCTAAATTCTTTAGGATAATGAGGGAGTTGACTTTACCTTGATTTCGAGAACATGTGTAGGGAGAGAGATGGTACCCTTGACTCTATAAATGGCACTGATGGCAAAGTGGTTCAGGTGACGTAAGTATGTGTATGTGAGTGGATTAAGGCTTAAACGCCTGAAAAAGTTCTGGATGCTATATGGTAAACTTTCTGAATCCAAGATTTTTCTTTGGTACACTATAGTCTGTTGTTATATTTAAGTCAAACGTGTGAAGACTAATTTCTGTCAGAAAATGTGGAGACTTATTTTATACTCAGGTTTTCTCACTTCTGGCTTTTGTCATCACAATGTAATTTGAAACAATACAGGACCTCTTGTCTACAGTATGTTTAGCTGTCAGTGGTGGGTGTTAGATTTCAAGATTGCAAATTCAGTCTGTAACTGCCCAGAAATCACTCCCTATTCATCTTTACAAATCCTTTTCATAACTGTAATTAGCCAATATCATTTCCCTTTCTTTTTAGAAATACTCTTGAAACCTTTGATGAAATGCAATCTTAAAAACAATAAGTCATTACTATTTTTCAATTTGTTTTGAACATTTTAAGCAGGCATTAGAATGTAGCCATTGCATTTCCACCTAAACAATTCAGAATTTTAAGCTAAAATCTAGAAAATCACTGGACTTTTCTGAAAAGTTTTCTGGTAAATTTGGTGACCAATCATTTGCTTTGGAGAGTAATATCCAGAATTCATGACCGGCATGTTTTCCACCATAAACAATACATTGCACTTAATGATTACCCTTTAAGAAGCAGAATTGTGTTCCTTTAAAAGGAGGAAGGCCCACATGTGATGGTAAAACACTTGATTGAAGAAAATTACCTCAGGCAGAAATCCCCTTGTCTATATGATCGAAGAAACTCATGTTTGTGTAGGAACCTGGTTGAATAAAGGAAATACTTCCTTCCAGCATGAAGCAACAATAATGTTTATTCTGGGGCTCTTGTGAACCATGTGATTTCTAAGAGTCCACACTTCCCTCAGGTTTGTGTGGAATGAATAAATACAAGCCAGAGGATGTCAGGGCCTTGTGTAGAGAAGGGACAAGAAGGGGGTGGAGGGGACTTTGCTGTGGTGGAAGTGGGTGGGGTTGTTTGTGCGTGGAAGGCATTGTTATCTTTGGAATGGAGACATGGGACCCTGGGGGTACTTTAAGGAACAGTCATCTTAATTTTGTTCAGTAGAAGACTCTCAATTTTTTTATTCAGCATAACTGGACCTACTCTTTTTTTTAATGAATATGATCATGGAATCTGAATACACAAAAAGTCAGTTCTCATGTTAAACATCCAAATATTTGGAAATTTTATATGACTAAATTATATTCAAAGCAGAGACTTTTGAAACATCGCTTGATAGCATTGGCCGTTAAAAGCAGCATTCTAGATGATACCATGATCTTTCTTAGGTGAGACGCTTTCATTTGAACACAAAAACAATTTGGCAACATCTGAAACCAATTTCCTTCTCAAGCTATACCTTGAACAACAGTAATTTGTGACTTGTTGGTCACATTATAAATACTTGTCACCTTTGTTTCTTGACTTTTTTTTAGCAGTTTCTTCTGCTTTGAGCTCTAACTTGCCTTTTTACTTAACAATATGAATTTCTATTCCCTGCCAGTTGAAGTAGCTGAGGTGACCCATGAATTCCATTCTGGGGGAAGCAGATGGGAGGGGAAGAGAGGCCAATCTGGACTCAACCTGGCTCCCTCCAACCCCAACGAACACACCTGAGACATCTCACAAGAGGAGGAACTGCAAAGGAGGGTGGGGGGTTCTGTTGTCTTGATTCTCTGCTTTTTGTGGAAACTGGGTGGAATTTTCTGGTGACTTAAGCTGATTGTGTTTGGTGGTGTAATTAGGAATAATCATAAAACAATGCATTGAGGAAGGAAGGAAGGAAACCTTTTTATTTCCGTTCTCTTAGAACACAAATGGAATCCTGGCCATGCTGGATGAGGAGTGCCTGAGACCAGGCACGGTCACTGATGAGACCTTCTTGGAAAAGCTGAACCAAGTCTGCGCCACCCACCAGCACTTTGAGAGCAGGATGAGCAAGTGCTCGCGCTTCCTCAATGACACGTCCCTGCCTCACAGCTGTTTCAGAATTCAGCATTATGCGGGCAAGGTATGGGGGAGCCGGAAGCGCCCAGCCTGGCTGCTGGGTCCTCCCTCACGGAGGGGAGTTCTCAGAAGTGCCCACTTGTAAAGGATAAATCAAACCACCAACTGGTAGAATCCATCCATGTTCAGTGGCATGATGTGGAGTGTATTCATATCACTGCCGAGCAGAAATAGGAAAACTGGGGGATTTTATGAAATTTGTTCAAAAAATTATTTTTTTATTGTTTTCTGTCTCTAAGCTATTCGGGGTAGAGAGGGGAACTCTATCAATAGCAGTAATAGAGATTTGCCAGTAAAAATTAGGAGTCACTAAGGACTTATAAAGAAAATAACTATGTATTTAGGAACACAGTACTTTTAATATCAGAATTATTATTTATTTTGAAATACTAGAGGCTGGAGGGTGAGTGTTCGAGCACACACCTAGAATACGCAAAGCCCCGAATTTCTTCTCCAACCCCAGCACCCTCCCCCCAACACCACCAAGCATGGTCTTGGTACTCCCTGAGCACCCTGGACTGAGCTCAACTAAAAGTAGCCCTGAGGCCTGACTACTACCTGCTGTGGATTCTATTAAATATTGGGACACCATGTTTTGTTTTGTTTTTTTTCTTTCTTTTCATTAACCTACACTATTAAATGACAATTTTCTGTACTGGAAAGATGACTCATATGGTTGAGCATATCTATGCTTTGCACGTAGATGGCCTGGTCCCTGGTACCACACATTTCCCAAATCACCAGTAGGAGTGATCCCACGCACAGAGCAAGGACCAGCTCCTAAATCCCTCCCGGAGTGACCCCCCCCCATGAAATATAAATAGATAAATACATATGTTCTGGTCAGTTCCTCTGCTGACTTAGGGTGTCTATGAAATATCAGTGTTATCACTTCCTGGTTTTCTCATTCTGTTTTAAACAGACTAGAATTGGCATGGGTGAGCTAAGAAAAATCAAAGTAAAACCCTCAAAACTATGCGCAAACACCAGAGAGAACGAAAAATCTTTGAAAATGTTATGATAACATTTTTGGAGTTTATTCTTGCAAATCCTGAAGGGTAATAGGATTTATTTCGAACCCTTTCCATGATGTAGACAGATGGAATTTATATTTGGAGGCTAATTCAGTATTCGAATGTGACTAATGTGTTGAGGATTTGCTGATGGAGAAGAGATGCTGAAATATAGATATTCTGGGAATGTTTTTAAACGTTTTTTGACACTTGAATGTGCGTCTTGTCATCCACCAAGTCTCGTCTGCTGCTCCTCCTAGGTGCTATACCAGGTTGAAGGATTTGTGGACAAAAACAATGACCTCCTCTATCGAGACCTGTCCCAAGCCATGTGGAAGGCCAGCCACACCCTCGTGAAGTCTTTGTTCCCCGAAGGGAATCCTGCCAAGATCAACCTGAAGAGGCCTCCTACAGCAGGCTCACAGTTCAAGGCCTCCGTGGCCACGCTGATGAAAAACCTGCTGACCAAGAATCCAAATTATATTAGGTATTTCCACACATCAAATTCTTCGGACAGTTCATACGTGAGGGCCCTCCTCCAAAGGGTCATTTTCCTGTTTGCTTAACCCTGAGTGTGACCCAAGCACAGGGTAGTTCACAGTACCTAAAGTTCAGTTAGTATGCTGTCAAGTGGGTTATAAAAATGCTTAGTGCTCCTTCTTGCCCCCGCAAATAAGGAGTTTTAAAATAAGGAGGAAAAAAGTATGTGAGAGGGGATGGAAATAAATAAATTGGGTTGTTGGCACAGAGCAGAGGGTTCTCAACTTTCTGTGTGTGTATGTACACATATGATAAATTAAGCATAATGTGAATTTTTTCTGGTAAGGGTTTCATCTCAGACTTGTTCGATTTATTTCAGACTCTTGTTATATTATCCTAAACATGGCATCAAAGCTAGTGGGACTTTAGTTATGACTGTGGTATTAAGTAAGTATGTATCTCTTTCTTTCCGGTGAGGATGACAACCTGGTGAAAACGGTGATTCCGATAACAGTTTTTTTAAATGAAAGAAATTTTCTTATGGGCTGGGGTGATAGCAGTAGGATATTTGTCTTGCACACAGCCGACCCAAGTTTGATTCCCAGCATCCCATATGGTCCCCTGCTTCCCCCGCCCCCCCCCCCCCCGCGATTTCAAAGGCATCATGAATGGGGATATCTCAAGATTCAGTGAAGACCAGTTAGCCTTAGAGTCCGTCATGCCTTGCTTTTAAGTAATATGGGCACTTTTGAATCGTTTCTTTTGTTTGTTTTCCAAAGCATTCACAATTCCATTCGTTATAGACAAATAAAGTTGTGACTATGGTGAAATGTGTGTATGTATTGAAGGAGGTGAGTGTATAGGAGATGACAGGTGTCTAACAGTTCAGATTTCCCTACACACACACACACACACACACACACACACACACACACACAGAGCTGTATTTTCTTTGCAGATTCGGTTATGAGGAAACTAATGTGAAGAACATAACTGATATTAATTTATATTGGTAAAAGGTATAAATAGAAAAGATCCCTATATTTGGTTGTAGACAGTGCTGTAAAAATCCTGGTTTCAAAGAAAGAAATAACAAGGAAACTCTATAATCAGTTACTTTAGTCAATCTCAATTAAAGGGTCTTTAGGAAATATTTAACTGTTTCATGGAGATATAATTTGCATTTATATTCATAGACCTACAGTGGCTCAGTTATTTTTTTCTCTGTTTTATACATTCAATGACTACCACCAAGACATGGAAGAATTTTACCTTTTAAGAAACTTTCTTCATTCCCAGGACTTCCCTTTTAGTTTTAATTTAATTCTAAGGTGGTGACTATATTATCATAGGGATTTTTTTAACCTAAAATCTTTTGAATTTCATATTAAAGTTTTTTTTTCATATTGGTATGCCATTGTTATGGCATGATATATTAAAATATCACAGTCATATTTTTTATTCAGTTGTGTTGATACCTTTTTTGGAAATCAATTGAATTTAACTATAGGGGTCTAGGTTAAAATCTACTAGTCTGTTACATTGTCATAAGTGTTTTGTTTTCTTTTTGGTTTGGGAGCCACACCCAGCAGTGTTCAGGGGTTACTTCGGTCTCTGTGCTTAGTAATTACTCCTGGTAGTGCTCAGAGGACCATAGGGAATACAGAGATTACACACCGGTCAACCATGTACAAGGCAAACACCCTACCCACTGTGCTATCACTCCAGCCCCTACATTGACATATTTGCCTACACTTAAACTGAAGAGTAGCCATTCTTTTTTATAAATATAAATAGGAAGACGTAAGAACAAGATCAAATGTGGCAAAATTAAATTGACTAAACATTATGTGTTTGTGGGATTTACTTGACAATTATAGCAAGGCAAACATATCAATAAATATTTGATGACATCTTAATTTGGATACAAAAATTACTGCTATAAGGTTAAAAAGTAACAAGAACGTGTTTCCCATGTGATTTCTAGGATAAGGGCTCTTGAACTAATAGAGCACCTCCTCTGTCGGTGTCTCTGTTAATTCTTCCTTAATAAATAAGATTAAGGATGGCTCTCCACTCTGTTTTTGCATTCGTCATTAGAAGTTCACAGAACCGGAGAGCAACAAGTACCTTCCTCTTAGAGTCACACCTAGAAGAGGCTTAAGTTATTTCCATTCTGGTCTTCGTAGTTCAAATTTTATTAGTCACCTAAGTCTCACCTACATGCAGAGGAGGCCGTGAAATGTAATCTTCCCTTGGATAGGATAATACAGCCAGTAGCTGGTCCGGGTTCAATCCCCAGCATCACATGTGGTCCTCTGAGTGATCCCTGAGAAATGCCAAGTGTTGCCCAAAATGAGATAGAGAGAGAACATTGTTTTTAATCTTTTTGCTGATAATACAGTAATATCCATTAATCTTATGATACAGCTTGTTGAATTTTTTGATATTTTTATATAGCTTCATCCTGTTTCCTAGTGTCCTTCCCTCTCAGTCCCCACTGTCTCTCTTCCCAGAAATATCAGCAACACTAATTTTGAATCACATCTTTGTTTTGTGATTCAAATACTTCATCTAAGTGGAATCATACACTGTTACGCCCTTTCATGTTAGACTTCTTTCACCCAACATGTCACTGTCATTCATTCATATAATTGTATATACTATGATTTGGGGGTTTTAAACTGCTGTGGGTGCAGTGTTACATTTATTTTTAGGATATTGTAAAATTTTTGAAGTCGTTTTTAAAAATAAGTTTCCTAAGAATAGCAACTATAATGGGATCTTGAACAACATGGGTATTGAAGTGCTACCCTTCTCCTCTGTGTCTGAAAACCTACTTAAGACTTTTAGCTTCCCATAAAAAAAAACTTTTTGCTTCCCTCAAACTTAACTACTAATGACCATTTTGACTGGATTCCAATTTCATCAGCAACTAGCTAGCAAAAACTTTGTTATGTGTATCATATATCATAGTCTCAAAGTAAGCAAACAAAAAGAAAATGATATTAAAATCACGAGGAAGAAAAAACACGTTTATAGTACTATACAGTATTGCCGATATTGCATGTTTATGTCCTTAAGTGGGCTCCTCACAATTCCAGCAACATGTTTCTCAAGAACAATTATCTGGAAACAATTATATATACTTTATAGAACCCAGGCAGGTCCAGAGAAGGTAGGATTTAAAGCTAAAATCTTTTCATCTTTCAGGTGTATCAAACCAAATGATAAAAAAGCAGCACACATCTTCAGTGAGGCATTAGTATGTCATCAGATCCGATACCTGGGTCTTCTGGAGAATGTCCGAGTGCGGAGGGCAGGCTATGCCTTCAGACAGGCGTACGAACCTTGCCTTGAGAGATATAAAATGCTTTGTAAACAAACATGGCCTCATTGGAAAGGACCTGCAAGGTAAGAAGTTCATTGATCATATCTAATAGTAAAATAAATTGAAGTTCAGAAATTATCAGATTACTTGCTGAAGGGCCGAGTCATTTTTGGACATATTAAGTGTAAACTTTTATTTGTATCCTTATTCCATGGGCATGTAATTTTGTGCTCATACTTGATTATTTGTAGAGGACTCAGTATTTCTTTTCTCCACATCCACTCATAGTTGCTGTTATTGCGGTGACTGGTTTGCTTGTGGTGCACCAGTTTGAATTCAGTTTATTATGGTGGTCATGGCACCAGTGATTCACCTCCAATGCTGCTGCTATATGGAGCACTACAGGGAATTGAACTAAAGCTCCATGTCTTTGTAGTTGTGGAGATGCTCTACCACTTAACCCACCCTTGGGTCTTTGATATCTTAAATGTTATAACAGGACTTATCAAATCCACATTTCAAATTTGTATATTGATAGAATTAAGGTTTTTTCCACAAGTTGGGGGGGGGTTTATATTTGTTAAATGCATTTGTGTAGAACCCCAGTAGAAGAACGGTGGATTTTGAAGCATCAGGGCTCACTACTCTCATCTTCCTACTTTCTCTCTACTTTCCATTTTTCCTATGAAGGTGTATAGAGTCAGGGGGTGGGGAGAGACTTACATTTGCCTAGGCCAACACAAGGGAAGAAGCGGAGACAGTAATGTCCATGAATCTTATGATACAGCTTGTTGAATTTTTTGGTATTCTTGTATAGCTTCATCCGATTTCCTAGTGTCATTCCCTCTCAGTTCCCACTGTCTCTCTTCCCAGAAATATCAGCAGCACTGATGTTGAATCACATCTTTGTTTTGTGATTCAAGTACTTCATGGGATATGAATTAGATTAGTGTTTCCCAAGTAGGGGCTGGAGTGATAGCACAGTGGTAAGGTGTTTGCCTTGCAAGCGGCTGGCCCGGCCGAGCTGGGTTCGATTCCTCTGCCCCTCTCAGAGAGCCCGGCAAGCTACTGAGAGTATCTTGCCCACATGGCAAATCCTGGCAAGCTACCCGTGACGTATTAAATATGCCAAACACAGTAACAAGTCTCACAATGGAGATGTCACTGGGCCCACTCGAGCAAAAATCGATGAACAACAGGAGGACAGTGCAATGCAGTGCTTCCCCAGTCGACAAAGTTTCCCCAGGGGTGCTTGGAAATCCAAGGAGCAATTGGAGGCTGTCTTCTGATTGTTTGCTTAAATAAGGTAGATTCCCAGGGGAACACTGAGAATTTTTTGTTTTCTAAAAGTGGGCAGTAGAACAAATAAGCTTGGGAGGCCCTGGTTTGGATTGCCAGTGTTTATTGCTAGTAGTGGAGCTGGATTGGAAATGATGACTTCGGCACAAAACTCTGCTCATCCCCTCTGAATTACACTACCTAGCCAGGCTAGATAAGCATCACTCTGCTCTGTAGGTCCTTTAGCTCTACCCACACAGGGGAACTTAATGGCTTCCAGAAGAGCCCTTCCCTTTACCTGAAGCAGTGCCCTCTTGTCTGCAGGTCATAGATACTCTCTCAGGATGAGGAAAGGAGGGCCTGAATATCCATTATCTGAACTAGGCAGGATGGAGTCTTTGGATTTTACTATGTAGTGTTGCTTCTACATTCTCACTGGGATTGACCTTCCACTGAAGCATCAGCATCATGGGTGTGCTCCCTGATGCTTAAATTCTGTATCTAAATAATGGAGACATGGATACCTTTATCCCCACAGCTAATTTTCAGGGTACTATGGTTAACATGTGCCTAATCTGCTTTCTGTGTGTTCACTCACTACCTGGCACCTTGTCCTCACATTGCTTGGATAATATTTCATTTTCTGGAACTGATATTGAAGCCAGGCTCTAGGGGAGAAAAGTCAGAACTGAGTCCAGGACCAGTTTCCACCACATAAGACCTGCTTCGTAGTATACCCAATTGTCTTGCCACTTAGTGTTCCTCAGACCATGTCCATATTCTCAAGAGCAAGAGCAATGCTTAAAATGTTTTCAAGTATAGGGGCCAGTTGCATTGCATGTGGTGGACCTGGGTTTGGTCCTCAGCGTCCTGTTTGTTCCTCTGAGCACTTTGAGGACTAAGTTCTGAGTGCAGAGCCAGGAGTAAGTCCCAAGCATTATCAGGTCTGGTCCTAAAACAAAACAAACAAACAAAAAAACCATTAAATTTTTAAAAGTAAAGTAAAATGTTTTCAAGTCTGAATCTGGCCCTGAATGGTATATTGTCATGGGAATCATGGTCACGGTCCTCCCGTTGTTCATCGATTTGCTCGAGTGGGCCCAGTAACGTCTCCATCATGAGACTTGTTGTTACTGTGTTTGGCATATCGAATACTCTCGGTAGCTTGCCGGGCTCTCCAAGAGGGGCGGAGGAATCGAACTCGGGTCGGCCATGTTGGCCGCTTGTAAGGGAAACGCCCTACTGCTGTGCTATCGCACCAGCCCATTGTCATTTACTTTGTGATTGTCATGGGAATATATGATGCAAATTATTTCATGCCTTTGAGAATGAAATCAAGACATTAGCTTTAATGTCAAATGGTCTCAGGTTTTGTAGTTATGAAGCCAACTTTAGTGTTTCAGCTTTTACAATATTTGAGTTAATTTGTGGAATTTCACTTGAAAATTCTTAGGAGCATGATTTCTGAAATGAAACCATATTTTAGAACCTGATAAAAATAATTTAAAGATGTGATAAACTAATTTTTTAACTCAGAAAACTCAATTTTTTATATATATCTATAGAGCTGGTGTGGAGGTTCTTTTTAATGAATTAGAATTTCCTGTAGAAGAATATTCCTTTGGTAGATCAAAGATATTCATCCGAAACCCAAGAACAGTAAGTAATTAAAGCCTTTATGCTCTGAACATACATTGCTGTTATGTAAACATGGTCTTAAAAGTATTTTAAATGGGAATAAAAATTTTCATATTCTTTTGTTTATTCACAGTTGTCAAAGGGGTGTACGAAGAAGGATTGGTGGAATTTAGGTGTCTTTTCTCTGAAATATCAGTCTTTTTGAGCTAATAGTTTTCTCTACACTTAATGATATCATAGAGTATGATATCTATCATGTATATATATATATATATCTCAATGTATGTTGATACAACATTGACACTTGCCTTATTTGAGAGAAATTTTGCCTATATTTCTTGGTCTGAATTACACCATAGTTTTAGAAAAGATAATAAAATAAAGATCTCTTACTTAGAGATTATGAAAAACTGAAGTATAATTAGGGTAGCTCTTGATTTGATTTGTAAATTTGGTGAATTTAGAATTAGGATAGAAATATGGCCAATGTTTCTCTCCCATTAATGACTGTATCCTCGTAGATAGTGTGAAGGTAAACCTTCCCTTTGATTATTTGTCATCAATTCTGAGTCACCAAGTGTAGAATATGGATCTTGCACTCATTCATCAAAACGTAATGATTAGTTTTTCTTTGTGTGTGTGTATGTGTGTGGTTGACTTCAACCCCATGTCATTTTACCTCCTAAAAACATTTTTCATGCATGCCATGAGTTTGGGGTAGACTTTTGATATATTTACTACCATTTCTTATTAGTTATTCAAGTTAGAAGACTTGAGGAAGCAGCGACTTGAGGACTTGGCCACGCTCATCCAGAAGATTTATAGGGGCTGGAAGTGCCGCACACACTTCCTGCTGATGCGAAAGAGCCAAATCGTGATCTCTGCCTGGTGTAAGAGATACTCTGTAAGTGTGTAGCAGTCTTTTATTTGTTTATTTATTTCTGTAAAACAATGCTTGATTGCAGATCAGTATTGCTAACTTACTGTGACATAACTATTACATATTTTATTCTCTCAATGACTTTGTGAAATGTGTACCCTTGTTCCTTATTTTTAATAGCCACCTCCAATAGTGCTAAGGGGCCCTGGGATCACTCTTGATGACACTCGGCCCAGAAGTGTGATACTTATGGGCCACAAGGTATATACCTGGTGGTGCTCATAGTACCATAGATTTCTAGGAGTCTAATTTGGCCTCACACTTTAAGTGATAGACACTTGAGCTGTTTCCCTCCTCCCCCCTTTTTAAAGATGAAAATCCTACGGCACTGAATCATTAACTCACCCATTAACTCACAAAGCTACTAATTGGCAGAGATGGGGTTTCAACCCAAGACAGTTTAGTACATACACCCAATGCCTTCAATGGAAGGATGGATGGGTGGACGCATGAAGATATGGTTGTGTGGGTGAATGAATGGATAACAAACAGAAATTTCTGTCATGAATTTGCTCATCATATTGGAAAAGACAATCGTTTAATTGTGGCAGCATCATAAAGGTAAAGGTAAAGGCCCTCCCGTTGATCGTCGATTTGCTCGAGCGGGCCCAGTAACGTCTCCATTGGAGACTTTGTTGTTACTGTGTCTGGCATATCGAATACTCTCGGTAGCTTGCCGGGCTCTCCGAGAGGGGCAGAGGAATCGAACTCGGGTCGGCCATGTTGGCCGCGTGTAAGGCGAACGCCCTACCGCTGTGCTATCGCTCCAGCCCGCTGGAGCGATAGCACAGCGGTAGGGCGTTCGCCTTACAAGCATCATAAAGATTTTCCAAAATATTTAGCTGTTTTCCATTGTAGCAGTGGCACTAAAATTGACTTTACTTCCCCTGGAATGCTAGTGCCACATTCTTGTATAGTTCCGGGCTCGAGCAAAGGATTGGAATTCCTTTATTTCTTAAGTATTTCACCTCATTACCAGAATCAATAATAAATTATGTTTACCTAATTCAGAATTTCTTTATGGAATATTTTTCATCACCTGATTATAGGGCATCTCTTTTTTTCTTTTTTTTCTTTTTTTATTAGTGAAACACCATGAGGTACAGTTATAGACTTACAAATTTTATGCTTGGGTTTCAGTTATACAATGATCAAGTGCCCATCCCTCCAGCAGTGTCCGTCATCCATCACCACGGGTCCCAGCATCCCCCCCCACCCCCCATCCCCCCTCCCATCCTGCCTCTGTGGCAGGGCATTCCCCCTTGTTCTCTCTCTCTTCTTTTGGATACTATGTTTTGCAAGAGAGGCATTGAGTGACAATCATGTTTGGTCTATAGACTACTTTTAGCATGCTTCTCCCACCCTGGGAGGGTCCTCACAACACCCTTTATTTGGTGCTCTCTTCTCTATCTGAGCTTCCCTTTCACCTAGCACATGTGGCTGGCCTTCCAGTCATGGAGCAAAATTCCTGGTACTAATCTCAGCCATTCCTGGGTGTTAGTCTCCCTTTTTGTTGCTTTATGTTCCCCAGATGAATGCAATCTTTCTGTGTCTATCCCGCTCTTTCTGACTCATTAAGCTTAACATGATACTTTCCATGTAGTACCACTTGTATGTAAATTTCATAACTTCATCTTTTCTAACAGCTACATAGTACTCCATTGTGTAAATGTACCAAAGTTTCTTTAACCAGTCATCTGCTCTTGGGCACTCAGGTTTTTTCCAGATTCTGGCTATTGTAAAGAGTGCTGCAATGAGCAAACAATAGCAGATGTCACTTCGACTATACCTTTTTGCCTCTCTGGGATATATTCCCAGGAGTGCTATAGCTGGGTCAAATGGCAGATCAAATTCTAATTTTTTGAGAATCGTCCATACTGTTTTCCAAAAGGGTTGGACCAGCCGGCATTCCCACCAGCAGTGAAGGAGGGTCCCTTTCTCGCCACATCCACGCCAGCATTGGTTGCTTTTGTTATTGTGGATGTGGGCCAGTCTCTGTGGTGTGAAATGATATCTCATTGTGGTTTTGATCTGCATCTCTCTGATGATTAGTGATGTAGAGCATTTTCTCATGTGCCTTTTTGCCATTCGAATTTCTTCTTTGTGAAAGTTTCTGTTCATTTCCTCGCCCCATTTTTTGATGGGGTTGGGTGATTTCTTCTTGTGGAGTTTAACCAGTACCTTGTATATCCTTGATATCAACCCCTTGTCGGATGTGTATTTGGTGAATATCCTTTCCCATTCTGTAGGCTGTCTTTGTATTTTGGTCACTGTTTCTTTGGAGGTGCAGAAGCTTCTTAGTTTAAGATAGTCCCATTTGTCTATCTTTGTTTTCACTTGTTTGGCCAGTGGCGTGACATCTTTGAAGATACCATTAGCTTCAATATCATGGAGAGTTTTGCCGACTTTGTCTTCAATAAACATTATGGATTCCGGTCTGATGTTGAGGTCATAAATCCATTTTGATCTTACTTTTGTGCATGGTGTTAGGCAGAGATCTGAGCCCACTTTTTTGCATGTAGCCGTCCAGTTTTGCCAGCACAGGTTATTAAAGAGGCTTTCCCTGCTCCATTTCACTTTTCTTGCCCCCTTATCAAAAATTAGATGATTATATGTTTGGGAGGAAATGTCAGTATATTCAAGTCTGTTCCATTGGTCTGCAGCTCTGCTTTTGTTCCAGTACCATGCTGTTTTAATTATTACTGCCTTGTAGTAGAGTTTGAAGTTAGGGAGGTTGATTCCTCCCATTTTCTTTTTCCCAAGAATTGCTTTAGCTATTCGTGGGGGCTTATTGTTCCATATAAATTTCAGGAGTGTTTGCTCCATTTCTTTGAAGAATGTCATGGGTATCCTTATAGGGATTGCATTGAATTTGTACAGTGCTTTGGGAAGTATTGCCATTTTGATGATGTTGATTCTCCCCATCCATGAACAGGGGATATTTTTCCATTTCCTCGTGTCCTCATTTATTTCCTGAAGTAGCGTTTTGTAGTTTTCTTTGTACAGGTCCTTTACTTCCTTAGTTAAGCTGATTCCTAGGTACTTGGTTTTCTGGGGCACAATTGTGAATGGGATTGTTTTCTTGATGTCACTTTCTTCTCTTTCACTATTTGCATATAGGAATGCCATGGATTTTTGGGTATTGATTTTATAGCCTGCCACTTTACTATACAAGCCTATTGTTTCTAGGAGTTTCTTGGTAGAGGTTTTAGGGTTCTCTAAGTATAGTATCATATCATCTGCGAATAGTGAGAGCTTAATTTCTTCTTTCCCTATCTGGATGCCCTTAATATCTTTTTCTTGCCTAATCGCTATTGCAAGTACTTCCAGTACTATATTGAACAGTAGTGGAGAGAGTGGGCATCCTTGTCTCGTCCCTGATCTTAGGGGGAAGGGTCTCAGTTTTTCCCCATTGAGGATGATGTTTGCTGTAGGTTTGTGGTAGATGGCTTTAACTATATTGAGGAAAGTCCCCTCTATCCCCATTTTGGCAAGGATTTTCATCATGAATGGGTGCCGGATCTTGTCAAATGCTTTCTCTGCATCTATTGATATGATCATATGCTTTTTATCTTTTCTTTTGTTGATATGATGGATTATGTTGATTGATTTCCGAATGTTGAACCATCCTTTCATCCCTGGGATGAATCCCACTTGGTCATGATGTATGATCTTTTTGATGAGTTGTTGAATTCTATTGGCTAGTATTTTGTTGAGAATCTTCGCATCCGTGTTCATCAGGGATATCGGCCTGTAGTTTTCTTTTCTTGTGGTGTCTTTGTTTCCTTTTGGTATTAGAGAGATATGGGCTTCATAGAAGCTGTTTGGGAGAGTTTCTGTTTTTTCAATTTCCTGGAAAAGCTTGAGAAGAACTGGCAATAGGTCCTCTTTAAATGTTTGGAAAAATTCACTAGTAAATCCATCTGGGCCTGGGCTTTTGTTTTTGGGAAGACTTTTGATTACACTTTCAATTTCCTTGATGTGAATAGGTCTATTCAGGTACTCTATATCTTCTTGATTCAGCTTTGGGAGATGGTATGAATCCAGGAATTTATCCATTTCTTCCAGGTTCTTGTGTTTCGTGGCATACAGACTTTCAAAGTAGTCTCTGATGATCTCTTGAATTTCTTTAGTTTCTGTTGTGATATCCCCATTCTTATTTCTGATTCGATTTATTAGGGCTCTCTCTCTGTTTCTTTGTGAGTGTTGCTAGTGGTTTATCTATCTTATTTATTTTCTCGAAGAACCAGCTCTTGGTTTCATTGATCTTTCGGATTATTTCTTTGTTTTCCATGTCGTTGATTTCTACTCTAAGTTTTATGATCTCTTTCCTTCTGCCTGATTTAGGCTCTTTCTGTTGATCCTTTTCTAAGGTCTTGAGCTGTGAGGTCAAGTTGTTTATGTGCATTGTTTCTACCGACCTAAGATATGCTTGCAGAGCTATAAATTTTCCCCTTAATACAGCTTTCGCTGCATCCCATAAGTTCTGGTAGTTTGTGTCTTCATTCTCATTTGTTTCCAGGTATCTTTTGATTTTGTCCTTGACTTCGTTCCTGACCCACTCGTTGTTCAGCATCGAGTTGTTTAATTTCCAGGTGTTTGATTTGGTTCTCCGTGTCTTTGTGTGATTCACTTCTATCCTCAGTGCATCATGGTCTGAAAAGATGGCTGATACTATTTCTATCTTCCTGATTCTGTTGAGGTATGTTTTGTGTCCTAGTATATGGTCTATTTTGGAAAATGTTCTGTGCGCGCTGGAGAAGAATGTGTATTCTTTCTTTTGGGGGTGTAAAGCCCTGTATAGGTCCATAAGCCCTTTCTCTTCTATTACTTCTTTCAAAGCCAATAATTCCTTGCTGGGTTTTGTTCTTGTTGATCTATCCAGAGGTGATAAGGCGATGTTGAAGTCTCCAAGTACTATTGTGTTGGTAGTGATGTCCTCCTTAAAATCTGTTAGCAGTTGTTTTAAATATTTAGCTGTTCCCTCATTAGGTGCGTATACATTTAAGAGTGTGATTTCTTCCTGTTGTACGTATCCCTTGATGAAGAGAAAATACACTTCACTGTCCCTTCTAATCTTTTTCAACATGAAATTAATGTTGTCGGATACTAGTATGGCCACCCCAGCTTTTTTGAGGGAGTTGTGTGCTTGCAGGATTGTTTTCCATCCTTTGACTTTGAGTCTGTGTTTGCTCTGGCTGTTGAGATGAGTTTCTTGTAGGCAGCAGAATGTTGGGTTCTGTCTCTGTATCCATTTTGCCACTCTGTGTCTCTTAACTGGTGAATTTAGACCGTTGACATTGAGAGAGAGAATAGTTATGGGTTTTGTGTCATCTTTCTGTGCGGGTGTGTTGTAGTTGTAGGGTTTGTCTTTTCTTATAGTAGTCCCTTTAGGCCTTGCTTTAGGTTTGGTTTTGAGTCTATGAAGTTCCTGAGCTGTTGTTTATCTAGAAAATAGTGTACCGTTCCTTCGATTTTGAGGGAGAGTTTAGCCAGATAGAGTATTCTTGGTGAAGCATTCATTTCAGTGAGTTTTTTTACTATATCTCGCCACTGCCTTCGGGCTTGTAGGGTTTCCTCTGATAGGTCTGCTGTGAATCTAAGGGGTGCTCCTTTGTATGTGATTTCGTTCTTTGCTCTTGCTGCTTGCAGTACTGTGTCTCTATCGGCAGTATCGATCATTCTAACTATGATATGTCTTGGAGTGTTTTTGTTTGGGTCTCTTTTAGCTGGCACCCTTCGGACTCCTTGAACCTGAATGGCTGCATTGTGCAGCTCTGGGAAGTTTTCAGCAATGATTTGTTTGACGGTGTTTTTTTCGTTGGGATTGTTTCCCTGAGCTTCAGGTAGTCCCATGATTCTAATATTGTTCCTCTTGGAATCATCTGCTAGGACTCTGATTCTCTGTAGAGCTATTTTGAGGTCCCTTGCCACTGTTTGTTGTTTCGTGTTGGCTTGGTGTAGCTGATCTTCCAGGTCACTGATTCTCTCTTCAGCTGTGGTCATTCTATTTTTAAGAGAAGAAACTGAGTTTCTCATTTCATCTACGGAATCTTTTAATCGAGACATTTCTGCTCTCATTTCTTCTCGTAATTTGTCGATTTTTTCTGTGGTGTTACTGGCTGTCTGTCTGACTGTTTCATTGAGTTGATTGAACATCTTCATGACTTCGTATCTGAATTCTATGTCAGAGAGGTCCCTTAGGTGAGCTGTATCGACAGAATGTTCTAGATTGTTTTCGTTGTTCTCCCCTTGTGGTGGGGATTTTCTTTGTTTCTTCAAATTGCTGAGTAGGTTGGGAACTCGATTCCTTGGGGACTAGGTTCCTTAGTATGGGAAAACAACCTGCAGCCGCTGTAAGCGGCCGCCCGCTGGAAAATAAGCCACGCCCACTTTTGAGGCCGCACCCACTTTTGAGGAGTCCACGCCTCTACAGAACCCTGGGTTTGGGATGAGATGGGCCCCGCCCTCAGGAGTGAAGAGGGCAGGGCAGACGCTCAAAACTGCTTCTCTCCAGGCATCTCGGGAGACACCTGGGGTCCTGCAGGGAAAGATGGAGGTCCCAGGGTCGGGAGCCGGTAGCTGAGCTGACGCGCACGGCCAGCACGCCTGCGCCCATCCTGCAGGAACGCCTATAGGGCATCTCTTTGAAGGAATACAGAGGCTTGCAAGACTCAAGAAATAAATTTCAGTGTTAAGAACAATTTTCCAAAATACATTTTTATTCTGTGCTTTTCACTAGAAAGTGAGTTTAGAAATCAATTAAATTTATAGTCAGGTCTCTTTTAGATTATTATCTTCTCTCAGCTATAGAGAGGTTTTAATGTAATACTTGTATAATCGGTAGATAATTTATGCTGACTTATTCTCATTTACTATGTCTTAGTGCATTATTTTTGTTTTAGAAAAATTGCCTCCTCTGATTAGAAAAGTATAATCAATAGCACAAGTGTCAAAATATGAGCCTGTTCAGCTACATTATTGATGAAGTCATTTCTCTGAAGTCTGCAAAAGCTCAGAGAACCATTGTCATCTAATTGACTGCATGTGGCAGTAGCACTTGGCTTCTCTGTAGATTATAATGCTGCTTTATTTTCTGTTTGTCTGAGAAAGAAGAGTCCAACAAACAACTGATCCTTTTATCATTTCTCACTTGAAACAGTGAAGCAGATCTATGTTTAGACATTTATTAAATTTATCCTTAATTCTACAGATATTTTTAAGTGACTGCTCTGTGGGGTAAGGGATAGCTAGATTTAAAAAAATCTGATTTTGACCTCATAATGCAAAACAATATGCATTTTGTATGCATCTAGTGCAAAACAATATGCATTTAAGCAAATAAATGGTGGGAACAATTGCATATTGTGCTGGGTGCTAAGAAGGAAAGAGAACTGAGAATCAGGATGTGACTTTAGGTAGGATGACTAAGGATTCACTTTGGAGAGGCTGACTCATCAGAAAGTTGAGAAGAAACAGACAAATCGAAGAACACAGGAACAGCCAATGCTCTGCACCCTCCTTCCCAGTTTAGAGCTTTTGTATCTCCATATGAAAAAGAGTCTGATTAATTCATGGTGCTGAGAAGTGCCAGTAATAATTGTGCACTGAAAACAAGTCATTTCAACCAGGTTGCTGTTTCTCTTTCCCATCCTTGACTTGTATCTACTTCCAGTCCTTGAATGTAGAATAAAGTGGAATTCACATTCATAGTCTCACTAGTCAAGGACTCTGTAGAGGGCAGAAGCTTAATACATTGTTCTATTGATAATACTTCACATCCATTTGTTAGCTGAGTTCCCAGTTTGCAGCAGAGTTAATTCACCAAAACTCAAAGAAGCCATGCATATTAGACACTAGCCATGTAAGGAATAAGGTGAGAAATGACACCATGAAGAGGGAACGCTCACCTCAAAGCACAAAAAAAGCAAAAAGAAGAAGAAAGAGAGAGGACTCAAATGCAGACATAGAACTTAGCGTACATGCAGTCAAAATGTAGTTAGTGAGTATCTGCCTGATTCACGCTCTGACTTACAGCAGCATAACAGAATATTTAGTCATGGTGGATCCTGAGCCATTTACAAATTGCTTAATTTGATTTAGCATGCTTTGAGTTCTACTATGGATTAGCTATAATAATTTAAAGTTGTTTACTATTTTGGTTCCTATGCATACTGGTTCCCAGAATAAGTATGAGCGATCCAGAGAGATGAGTGAATTCCATAAGCCTGTATATAATCTTTCTCAGGGCTTGTCACATCTGCGTTACAGATCTGTAAATTGAACCACTAACATCTTCCCCTTTCATCCTACAGCAACAGAAGCGATATCAGCAGATAAAGCGCTCAACTTTGCTGATTCAGTCTTACATCCGGGGCTGGAAGGTAAGTAGGAAAGAAGTGAGCCTTTTGAACTTGGGGTTTTCAGGTTCTTCAAAAGAATCAAGTCCTTACGCTTGTCCTTCAGGGAGGCCTCTTGTCTCCTGCTATCCTGTAAACAGATGGAAAGAATAAATATTATGGACCAAGCTAGGGCTCTGGCGACCACATCTTGGCTGCTTCCTTCTAACTGGCTTTCTTTTTAAGTGCTTTGTTCTCTGAGCAGGAAGTTCTTGAAATAATACCGTACACGATTTCAATATCCTCTTGCCTTCTGTTTACTAGAGAACCTCAAGTCCAGAGGGTGGTCTCACACTGTTGCCTCTGTACTTGCCAGTCTGCCAGGCCTCAGCACTCCCTTCCAGAACTTCCTGGGAACCCTTTTTTGGTCTTCCCCATAATGAGGGAAAGATTCTGAGCTCTGACCACTCTAGTAAGGGTCATGGATCTGTTTCATGGCAAGATTTGCTTTGAAGAGGTCAGTGAAAACAGATCAAATCTAGCCTATTGCCTGTTTTTGTGTATCCTAGAAGTTGACGATGGTTGTTCTTTGGTTTGGGGTTTTCTTTGGGGGGGAGGGGAAGGGGTTGCTTTTTATCTTTTTTTATTGAATCACTGTGAGGTACAGTTGCAGAGCATTCATGTTTGAGTTTCAGTCATACAATGATCGAACACCCATCCCTCCACCAGTGCACATTTTCTACCACCAGTGTCCCTAGTATTCCCCCTCCCATCTTTCCCTCTGCCTCTAGCTTCCTATCTTTCTATTTGGTTTGCTAAGCATTCTTTTTATTTTATTTTTTTAAAAAAAAAAGAGGCAAAGAACACTACTCATGAAATTAAAAAATACATAAAAGTGTTTTGTTGGTGCATGGACATGTTCATTTATTTTACATCTTATCTGTGACTGATTTAACACTGCAGCAGCTGAGTTGATAGAGGATAGAGACCATATGATGTGCAAAGCCAAAAATATTTACCATCTGGCCATTTTTCTGCTGGGAGATTTTTGAGAAGTTGACCAGATCCAGAAGGTCTACTGTAAGATAGTTCCCAGGCGGGAACCCCTTCAGTGGATAGAACCCTGAGTCAGGAATCCTTTGCTTCTGTGACCATTTGCTGGGTCCAAAGACAACCCAGGATCTTGGCATTGTACTCCTTTAGATGCCAGAATGCAAATCTGAGCTTGCAGAGTTAGTGAAATTACTTCCTGCAGTTTCTTCTTTGAGCTTACTATGAAGTCCTGCATCCCACTCTTTATTCAGAACTTTGGAGACAGGAATCAAAACCTACCTCCCAACCAGGTGCCACCACAAAGTCAGCTTCCAGCCACTGGTTTTGGAACAGTGAGCCAGTTTTATTTTAGTGGACTTTGAGCCTCCTTTCTGGATACCGACAGTTATAGTCTGCACAGAAATGTGAAGGCCTACAAATTGATCACTGAAGATATTTCAGTTACAGTCTAAGAACTGTACCGTTCTGGCACTGGCTTGTTGTTAGATTCTTTCCAGGCACATAATAGTGCCTGGAACACTATTGTCCTGGTCCATGTGGGGGCCTCCCTCTCAGGCTAGATCAGCTCACCATCACCTGTCCTGCACATGTCTGTAGACTGTCAGTAAGAACCAAGGCAGCAGACCAGTGGTTTTCTCCCTCTCTATACCTACCGACCAGCAGCAGTCCGTAAACCTGTGGTTAACCACTGGGGTAGGTGTCTCCAGTTAGCCCCTTCTTAAATTCAGTATGGAGCTAAGAAGTCACTTCCCTCTTTACTTTCTTTATACTCTTGAGTTTTCACTTGCAGAAGCCCATAAAAACTACTTCCTTGGTCGCTGTGAATTCCATTTGGGGGCTAACTTTCCATTTTTCTGGGTAATTCTGTGCCATAGGCTCGAAAAATCCTGCGGGAACTGAAGCATCAAAAGCGCTGTAAGGAAGCCGCCACCACCATTGCAGCTTACTGGCATGGTACTCAGGTAGGCCAGAAACTCCAAAGAAAGGCAGCAGGTTGGGAGTAATAAGGGGAACACCACATTCTCATCTGGGGCCAGAAAATGTCTCACTGGCTTGAGCTACTGAGCACGCATTTGCCACTTGCTCTTTCCAACATTTGGTGTGGGTGGTGGCACACGCTTTCACGTTTAGCGTATGGTGGTGACTGGTGTCTATCTTCTTTCTCCATTGGGAATCAGCAGTAACCTTTCTTGCCTTACACTTTTCTGTCACTCCTTTTCAACTGCATCACAGGCGCGAAGGGAACTGAGCCGGCTGAAGGAGGAGGCTAGGAATAAACATGCTATTGCAGTTATTTGGGCTTACTGGCTTGGATCTAAGGTACTTGAAATGCACATCCCACCCTCCACCCTGGAATCTGCAATAATTAGTCCATCTCGCTAGCATTTCAGGGGATGAATATCTACAATTAACAGTGGCTTACACTGGTGCATGCAGTAAGCCTGGAAATGTTAGTGTCGGTAGTGCATGGAAGGGGCTTAAACATGTGTAGGCAAAGAAAGACTAATTGCTTACTAACGAGACCGTAGTAGAATTGCCCTTAATTGAAAGTCGTAAGTAACATGCATGTTTCATTTCTTATTTTTTTCTCTACATGTATTGGTGGTTTCCTAAAGGTGTGTGTGTTGGGGAAGTGGGTGCGGGGGGGGCATGTTGGGAAATATTAAGAACAGGATTGCAGTTGATCTTTTACAACGTGCTGACAATATAAATGCCTTTAACGCATGTCTTACAAAATATTAATCCCTGAATGAAATTGTTTTTTTAGGCAGCTATTGATTATGATGAGAAAAACGTTACATACAAAAGAACACTTTTTTTGTCTTCTGTGATTTAACAGAAAGCTCTGTTCATACAAAGCTAGCTATAATTGCCACTGAAGAATCCCAGGAATCTCAGCATCAGCTGTTTGTTTTCAGAAACAAAGGCCTCCTGAAATACTCGCACTAATCCCCAGGCAGAGTTGTGGGCTCTGTGAACATTTCACATTCCCCAAGGGATGAGATTTTTAGATGTTTTGGGGACTTAGAAAATCAAAGGTCATCGCTGCCAAAAATGTGTATTTTCATCAGAAATACAAATAATCTAGTCTGCTGCTCTCAGGGCTACCTTATTGACATGCTGGGCCCATCTTGAGAAAATGAGACAAAGCAACATTTGTCTGCAGAATACCTTCATTTGAGAAAAAAATGAACCAGTTGTTCATTGGTGCTTTCCTATGAAAACCTGTGAACAGCAAATCAGTTCCTTCGCAAACTAAGGAAAATGTATCTGCATAGGCAGGAATCAGACATGGTTATTCCTGGGATTTCCCACTGGGTGAGCTCATTTCCCAGTCTCAGTGCCGCCAAGAAGAGAAAAACCAATGCCTGTCTATTAAAATAGCATGCCTCAGAATAACGTCGCCCAAAACTGGTTTTTACCGCTTGTGTCACTTTTTTGCCTTGCTTCAGTCTATTTGCCACTCATGTAATTTGGGAACCTAACCTAGTCATGTATTTTTGCATAGGCTGATGCTAATTTTCTAACTGGAACGAGTTTTGAGTTTGGTTTTTTTGTTGGAACTTCAGAGAAACCACCTTTATCCCTTTCAAATTTCTAAATGACTATGGGCAAGCTGGCTTTTGCCCTGTGTCCAATTGAAAGCAAGCCCTCAGGAATGTGCAGGCACGTTAGGGCCTTGTGTTGGCCCAGAGGGAATGAGGTTCTAAACGCATGTCTCATTCTAAGGCAAGGGAGTAGGAGTGCAGAAGAATTACCATCTTACTGAAGTGAGTAGAGGTGGAGGAAGGGGAAAATAGAAATGGCGGGGCAAAAGACCTATCACCTCATCACCACAGAGCTCACCCTCCTGGAACAATCTCCACAGAGCAAATTACAATGGATTGCACCAATCTGACCCTGGACTTTGGGTGTTTAATGATTTATGCACCATTTCCCTATCATTCTGATGCACTATTCATAAATTGGCTCTTCTGGATGGTGGGGGTGTCTTTTTCTGGTCATTTGTGCTGTCTGCGTTGGGCTGTCTCTTTTATTTACTATCTAAAACATTCTAGGCTCGAAGGGAATTGAAACGCTTGAAGGAGGAGGCTAGGCGTAAGCATGCAGTTGCTGTCATTTGGGCTTACTGGCTTGGACTGAAGGTACTTCTTCAACCTCTTCTCTCTGTCCAGGGTGAACTCAATGAAGCCTAGCATCTACTAACCCTTAGAAAATGATTGATTTTGCTTGCTAATGATCTGCAAAGTCTTTCCCAATGTCATCTTGCCTAATTTTATTCCTTTTTCAGAACAAACCTACACACTGGTATTTCCTGATTTTACCATGCTATTTTTTAAATAATAGGTTGAATGTAATAGCAATGCAGCTTTTTCCATTCAAGACGCTTGTTACCCAATTCCTATTTTGTGTTATCTTCATGAGGCTGAAGTTTTTCGGTTTGGTTTTTTTTTTCTTTCTTTTTTTTTTAAATTCATGAGTCAGTTCATTGGTCGAGATAAACACAGACTCATCATCTGCAGTTCCCATCCCAGGCAGGGGTGCCAAATGTTTGTTTCCACTTTTCCACCTGTTTAGCTCCAATGATGTCATCTGGAGCCGAGTTTTCCTCAAAGTCATTCTAATTATTTAGCATAGAAATCAAAGGGTTTTGCATCAACATGTGTCCATGTTGAACCAGATTAAAAAGATCTTTAAGGGTGCAGTGCAGGATGAGTATCAGCTTGATGCTGATTTCTAATTGAGCTAAGAATGCACGTTAAGAAAATCTAGACCCTGGACAACCCTGAGAAGAGACTTTAGGCAGTTACAGAATTTTTGTCTTCCTAATGACTAATCAGCACAGGGATCCACTCTTAATGGCTTTTGAGCAATAATCAGACTCCATTTGACATAATTTATTTTCTCCCTTGGTTTCCCAACTGGTTTTCAGGGGATCCTTGGGCAACTGTTGGCAGTTCTTGGCAAAGCAGGCCAGACTATTCAGGGCCCACAGATACTATGGTGCTGCTCAGCCCCTCTGTGCCTGGGGCTCCCCAGACCAGCCTGGGAATGCTGAGGGTCTCCAAGGCCGCCCCCAGTGGTGCTGCACCTGGTACTAGGGAGCAAACTGACATCATTGCATGCAGGGCGTGTGCATTGATTCCTGTGCTAGCTCTAGGCCCTCTTTATTATTTTCAGTCTAATACCATAACAAATGCATTTTCTAAATATTTGAAAATTATCCCAGAAACAGTTAACTGTGAATACAAATAGCATTTGTGATATCTCTAAGCTTTTCTTGAAGAATCCCATTTTTTTTCCTGAAAGTTTAGCCTATTTTATTTTTTTTTAGTAATTAAACCTTTTTTATTATACTAAATAATCAAGTAATTTTTGAATTAAAAATTAGCTTGAAGATGAATTTAAGATGCTCTATTTCAGGATCTCTGAGCAAGTTCTATGGCTTTATTTAAAGACAAAACTAGGAATTTTATTTCCCATTTTATTCCCATTTTATTTGTTCTAGTTTGCATTCTGGTTTTCATAAAGGGCAGATATAAGCAATGCATCAGGAGTTTTGCTTTCTGTAATTACCTCTGCTAGCCATATCATATTTATTTTCATTTTTCTGGGTTTAACTGCATATGATTAAAGCATATTTTCACATTAGTGGTGTATGCTAGCAACCTATAAACAAAATTTGTTCTGTGTCATAAACCAATATTAAATAATTTTAATTTTAAAAGATAAGCCTATAGGGAGATGTTACTTTAAAAGAAATTAACTGGGCTTATTCTAGACATAACTTTTTAATTTCCATCAAAACAAAGACTTTACTGTTTCACGATCATTGTTATAAAATAGGATAAAAATTTCTTTGAAGTCCAAGAACATAGTGCTTTAGAACATAATGCTTTTATGCACTTTTTTAAGGGGAATTTTATTGGGATGAGCAGTAGCTTTGCCCTTTAAATGATTTGCTGCTGCTTCTGGAAATGATTATAAAGTTAAGAGAAAACTTTAGAACTCCCTGTGCCCATTCAGATGCCAGAATGTTGCCAAGATTTTACTATCTGTAACTCTACTTGGGAGAAGCATTTGATAGATACCACTCTGTGTGTGTGTGTGTGTATGTATGTGTGTGTGTGTGTGTGTTTGTCCATTCTAACCCTTTTAAGTTTGAAATTCAGAAATGATTGTGAAAATCTGACAAAACCATAACTACAATTTAAAAAGGTCATCAGTAACCTATGAACTGTATCAAAAGAGAAATCCCTATTTTAGTGTATGGAATAACTTTTAAACTACTAATTCACGGCCATTGGGAATTCCTGTGTCACTCAGATGCCTCAAGGGCCTGTTTAATCACATGCACAGATGAAAGGTGGATTAGCAGCCATAGGGGTTTGCGCATTTGCACCCTGCACAGCTACTCAGCTCTAGCCAGGCCTTTCCTTATGGACACGGGACCACTAACCACTGGATTCCAGTAAAGGAAAATTTTTGCTTTGGTTTTTGTTTGCGGGCCACAGCCAGTGGTGGCTCAGGTTCTGTACTTGGGTCATTCCTGGCAGTGCTCAAAGGACAATTTGCAGTGCCTGGAATAGAACCAGGGTTGACCATGTCCAAGGCAAGTGCCTTACTGCTTTACTGTCCCTCTGCCCAATCCTAGAAAAACTTGAAAGAAACCTGTACCAGAATCCTAGGAATTTCTTGGGGCTGGAGCAATAGCACAGCAGGCAGGGTGTTTGCCTTGCACGCAGCTGACCAGGGTTCAATTCCCAGCATCCCATATGGTCCCCCGAGCACCGCCAGGAGTAATTCCTGAGTGCAGAGCCAGAAGCAATTGCCAAGTATAACCCAAAAGCAAACCAAAAAAAAAAAAAAAGAAACAAAATCCTATTAATTTCTTAATTGAAAAATATAAATATAAAACATTGATTCAGTTAGTGTTGATTAATCGTATGAACTTAACTTGATTAGTAGGTTGCTAGCTTTCAACCTGTAATATTAAAATATTTTCGACATATCCAGTTAAACTCAGAAAACAGAGTACAAAATAAAAGTACATAATGGTAATGTCTGAATTATTTAAATAGGTTATTATTTCACTGAAATGAGCTCTCATTTGTAGCTAGATAATAATACTTTTTTTTCTTGATTTCACTCAGCAGACCCCTCAGTAATTTTGCTTGTTGGACATTAGTATATAAAGTGAATGCAACAGCATAGCAAGGGGGAAAATAGTAAAAACCAAACTGATAATATGGTGTCCTAAGTGCTGTGTTAGCATTGATTAGAAGGTTTGGTGGGAGTAAAGATGGGGAAAAGTAATGTAATTCAATGAAAGAGAAGGTAGTTCAGAAGTCTTTTCAGTTCTTTATTTTGGACACGTTCACTCCTTTATATGCAATCCTAAAATCTTATCTTCCTACCCCAAGCTTTAGGAAACTGATGTAGTTCTCCAAACATTTTTTATCTTTTAAGAATAATCTGAAGGAAAAATTACTTCATATAATTCTCCTTGAAGTGTATTCTGTGATGAATTTGCAGCTGTGCCTGTAGAAATCTTCTCAACAAATCATAACGTTCTTTAAAAACTAGTTAGGAGGATTTAAAACATTCTCTTATTATCATTTGGTATCTCAGTTTCTTTTTTCTCTGACTTAAAATTCAGTGTCTAAAAATGCCTCAGTTATTTTACTGTATCAAGAAAAGCACTTAGAAATGTACTTGTCCTGCCCATTTTCCTCTTTAGTAGAGTTTTATCCTCTTTACGGGCATCTAATGGCCAAACACTAACTGTTATATCCATGATTTTTAAAGGTACGCAGAGAGTATCGGAAATTCTTCAGAGCCAATGCTGGAAAGAAAATTTATGAATTCACCCTTCAGAGAATTGTAAGTTTAATATATATAGATATATATACACACACATATGTATGTGTATATGTATATATGTATATATATATACACACACACACACACATACACACACACACACACATATACATCACTGTCACTGTCACTGTCCTCCTGTTTTCATCGATTTGCTCAAGCGGGCCCAGTACCATTATGAGACTTGTTACTGTGTTTGGCTTATTGAATACATCACAGGTAGCTTGCCAGGCTTTGCCATGAGGGCAAGATACTCACAGTAGCTTGCCGGGCTCTCCAAGAGGGGCAGAGGAATCAAAGGTGGAGGAATCGAATTTGGGGTTAACTTATTATAACACCAATTCAAAATTATTTTTACTTCTGTTGTCACAGTTAAATCATAATTGTTGATTGTCTCTCAAATATGGTAAAACTGTTTAAGTTATTAATGCCATAATATTGACCAAAATGGCCTTTGGAGAAGGTGAAACCCAAGAACCGCAAGTGTCTTAGTTTTGCCTGCTGTAATGGAGTTTCTACAGAGAATATGGCTAAGACATTAAACATTTTTTCTCACAATGTTCCTGTGAGGGCCTTTTCCTGTTTCCCTCACTTGGTAATAGAGCACAAGAGAGGCAGTTGCTCTTTTATTTCTCATTATCAGGACCCTCATCCTCTCATGGAGGGTCTAGCCTCCTGACCTCAACTAAATCTAATTATCTCCCAGAGGTCCATCTCTTGATACCAGGCCAGTGAGTAGTCAGGCTTCAAGATAGGCCTTTGGAGGGAATTACCAGGGACTTAGCCTGATAAACTGCCATGCAGTCTGCAGGGCAAGATTGGCAAACTAGTAGCTAGAGTGGTAAGGGACAGAAGACTGTCTTCCTACATGGTGGAGTCCCAAATTCACCTCTGTCTTTCAGAGCTATATATGTAGCAGTGAAGAATTCGATTCTTGCCTTTCCACATATTAATGTGTCACTTGAGAGCAGGTTACTTCACTTCCATGTGCCTCATTTTGTCATTTATAAGATAGGGGTACTATCACTCACCTCATGGAGTTCTTATTAAGATGGAGTGAAACATGAAGCTCTTAGCGTGCTTTGCCGATATTAAGTACTCCAGAGCCAATAAAACTTTATGCATTCAGGGGCTGGAGTGATAGCACAGCGGGTAGGGCGTTTGCCTTGCATGCGGCCGACCCAGGTTCGATTCCCAGCATCCCATATGGCCCCCTGAGCGCCGCCAGGAGTAATTCCTGAGTGCAAAGCTAGGAGTAACCCCTATGCATCGCTGGGTGTGACCCAAAAAGCAAAAAAAAAAAAAAACTTTATGCAGTGAGGAAAATGTATTGTTTTTCCTGTGCATTGCAGTAATTCACAGGTAGTGAGTGAGCTCTTGAAATGTAATTAATGTAACAAACATGGATTTTTAATTTGTTTAGTATTTAAATATAAATCACCACATGTGTCTGACTGCTAAATAGTGTGATTCTCTCGAGTTGGCTGGTATTAGTATTAATATTAGTGATGATCGTATGGAGCTTTGATTTCTCCAGTAGTACCCAAGTGAGTAGAGGTAACGTGTAACTCCAAAGGAGTCACAGAAGATTTTTGGACTAAAATTGTCAAAATGCCACAAAAGACTTATCTGCATATGTGATTTACATTAAATAATGTCTTGTCTTGGGTAATTTACTCATTTAGGATTATGTCACTCCCAACACAGGTGCGAAAATATTTCTTGGAAATGAAAAACAAGATGCCTTCCTTATCTCCAATAGACAAGAATTGGCCACCAAGACCTTATCTGTTCTTAGACTCTACTCACAAGGAGCTGAAAAGGATTTTCCACTTGTGGAGGGTAAAAACAAAGTTTTGTTGATTTTTCTCTCCCACCCCCCACCCAGTCCCACCGCAAGATTCCTTATTGTACATTTTTGAAGATTTGAGAAGTGTTGCACAAAAGCAGATTTTGGCCACCACCTTCCCCTGGGCTGCAGAAGAAGCCTGTATCCGAGTCATCTGAGTGCTCTAGTTTGAACCTTGCCCAAATCATACAGCTGCGGAGAGTCTCCTCCCAAACACAGCTGGGAAATGAGGCACATGGCTGTACATTCTCCCCTTTCGGGTTCCAGTGGCTTTGAAGGAGCCCAGAGAAGTTAGCATCTTCTCTTTCATTGTCATCTGAAGGAGCACTGCAGGAGAGAGAAGTAATAAAGTTCAAACAACTTCAGATAATGAACTAGATGCTGCAGATGAGACAACTTTCTAACATTTATTAAACAGCCACATGTACATGTGAACACACACACTTTGATGAAGTGGATGGAGCAGGGCGGATGGGGGATCTTTAAGGTGGATGTTGGAGATAGCCCAAAGGTGTGGAGCATATGCCTTGCATGTGTCAAGCCTGAGTCCAGTCTCTGCTACCTCATCGCCCTCCAGGCACTTGAATTTATCTCTGGTGTCCCCCAAGCACTTCTGGGTGTGGCTCTTGTGGCCCCAGCACCACTGGGCTAAGCATTGCACTCTCAGACAAACATTATCAGGCTGAGTATTATTAAGAATGGTTCCCCAGGCCCCTGAGCATGACTGGAGAAGACCCTTTATAAATAAAATGCTTTAAAGTGCCTCCAAAAGGCATTAAAAAGAATAAATTTTCCTCTGCCTGAAATAAAGGGTAAGTTGCAATCAATTTGCTGTTACCTTACGTTGTAACTCATTCGACTCCCCCTCTCTCCATCCCTTTCCTGCGTTGATGCTGTTGTAATGTCCAGGGTTCACTCACATGCTTGCTGTACTCACTGGGGGCACATACTTGTGGCACCAACGATCAGAATGGTAGTGTCTGCCCTACTCTGTGATGTCTCATAATGTTGCGGGGGGGTCGAACTTGTGGCCTCATACATGTTAGGAAAGCACTGTACTATCAAGAGACATCCCTCTGCCCATCATTTTGTTTTATAAGAGAAAATGCATTCTTTTTCTGTTATCTGGTATGAGCCATATGGTAGTTATATAGACATCAACTTTATTTCAGTAACTCTGTTGCTATATGGCTTGGTAAATATTCACCAGTTTTAGATATTATAAAATTAGACTGAAGCATTTGTTTCTAATAAGTGAATGATTCATGGATCTGTCCTCTAAACCTCTTTTCCACCCACCACTGTAGCTTGTTCTTTACCAGAGTCATATAGAACTGTAGTGAGTGGGTGACATTATCACTGATTGAAGGTATCAGCACTACCAGTAGAACTGAGTTCTGTACTCTTAGTCATTTTGTAGAGATTCATCAACAATTTTAATGTACATTTCCCTTTTTGAAGTCTGCCATAGAAACAGTTGTCACAAGTAACCCTGGGAGCTCATTGTGCTGGGTTCAGGGGTGGGGGGGAGAGCTGAGGTAAGATGCCTGCTCTGAGGGCATCATCTAGCTCCTGCATCTCTTGTCTCTCCTGAGTTGGTGGTAGAGACTCAGCAGGGGGTGCCTGGCAGCAGTCCCTGTAACGGCTGGCAGCAGTCCCGATACTGCTTTCTGCAATCGCCTGGCTGACTCTCAGCTACCCCTGAGAGTTTATGAGTGACCCTGGCCCTGTTGCCACCTATCTGACTCCTTAGGGTATAGTCCCAGAACTGGGTCTGTACAGGGTCAGTTCTCAGAACCTCTGTTCACAATGGCAAATGGAACAGTGTCGTGCAGAGTCTGAGGTCGGCATTTTTGTGGGTCAGCATCACTTGAATAGATCACATATGTCAGTGAAAAATACAGTGGAATAGAGACTTAGGAAACATACCTGCAGAAAGGCTCAGTGTGTTTTGTGATTCTTTCGCATCTCCCCATCTGCACGCATGTGTGTAAGTGTGCTGTGGTTGGCGATATGGTGGTGTTTTGCACTGGAGTCAGCAGGAGTGGGACTGCCTCTGTCCTGCAGAATACTCAGGGACTGGCCTCATGGAAGAAACAGCACTCACAGCAGGGCTTGTCCCTGCAGGGTCCTGGTATGTTTTAAGGAAGCATCCCAAGTTTTGCAATGCAAATAGTTCCTATAACATTCTCTAAGGCCTCATCTTCTAAAAAAAAAAATAAAAAATAAAACACAAAGGAAAGGTTGGGAATGGAGTTTAGTGGCTGAGTACATGTGCTATATGTATGAAACTCTGGGGTCAGTCTCTGGTACCTAAAAACAAACAAAACCCATAAAGCGAAAATAATTTTGACTTTTTCATGGTACATTTCATGCACATTCACTCTCACTCTTACTGCTCTTAAATTAGCTGAGCATACTTAAGAACGAGTAATGGTTTGTTTATATGAATTATCTTTTCTTTTTGTATCTCACAGTGTAAAAAATACAGAGACCAGTTTACAGACCAGCGGAAACTTATTTATGAGGAGAAGCTAGAAGCCAGTGAACTCTTCAAGGACAAGAAGGCATTATACCCATCAAGGTAATATGGGTTCCTTTTGTGCATAAAAATTTGTTTTAATAGCTTCTCAAATACATGTGTAGGACTTTTCTATTCATTTGATTTTAATAATACATGAGATTTTTAATTTTAGAAATTATGATCAACTGGATATGAATTTACATGAAGACATTCAATTAATTGCTTCCTTAGCATACTTCAGTCTCATTTTATTGAGATTGCATGTGTTTAAGTCCTTGGGCATGAGTTCAAATAGTTTACTAAACACTTAGAAGTCACCATTTAAAATAAAAATTGGGTAGACACTAAAGATAATGGCACAGGGTAAATTATTGTTAGTTTTCAAAGACTGGCCTGATTTCTTTTGGCTGTAAACTATAATAACCACTCCAACTTCCCTCACTTAACCCACTAACAGGCCAACTCAGAGTCTCATTTGTAAGAAAAATAAAAATGGGGGATCCAGGGGAGCACTTTTGAAGTGCTGTTTTCACAATAGACTGCCCTGGCCCTTGGTCTGCTGAACTTCAGTGGCCTGTTCCATGCCTAATTGTAGACATCAAGTACTCAAGCAAAGAAGGAACCCTGAGACAGCTTGCCAAGTGAGGACTTTTGGAAAAATTGCCTGTTTGAAAAATCTTTCAAGTTCATTTCCTCCCAAGAAACCATCTCTCCTTTTTTCAGATGTTTACGAGTATAGATCATACTGTTTGGGGCCAAATCTAGAATCCTTTTAATGGTCTTGAAGTAATGGTCCATCTTAAAGAATATACCAAGCACAAGTATTATGTGCTTGGTATATTCACATGGCATGCATATGCTAGGTTTATATGCTCTTGCCTTTATAAATGTTTATACAGGTCAAACATTTCCCTTTTAAATGTAAAATGAACATAAGGCACGAGCATAAGTCTCCCAACTCATTTGATTAAATATTTAACTGATATATATCCTTGGTCAGCCTCTCTGGCTGTTCAGGTAGAATATTCTTCCTCCCTAAGTTAGACATAGTAAGTATCTAATTCCAAGTTGTTCAGATTGCAAGCTCAACAACACATATTTACACACGGAATATTCTGGACTTGCTTTCTTTGGCAGTAGTTTTGTTCCACCTTTTCTTTATGAATAACCCTGATGAATATTCCATAGAGTTGATATTTTTCAGGAACTGGAGGGAGAAAAACACTTTCGGGAAGAGGCAGTTCCAAGCAGTACTCTGGGGCCCCTACCACTCCTGACATCCAGGTGTTGACATCCTGACTCCTGACATGCTTGGTGTTGTGCCCAAGGATGAGGTGCAGCTTGCACCCTTCAGTGCTGGGGTTTATCTGGATCCACCTGGATGCTTGGAAACCTCTAGGGCCACCCCTAGTAACAGGAGGCCAGACACTGCTGGGGATGAAACCCAAGTAAGCCTCATGCCAGGCATGAGCCCCAACCTATCTACATGTTTCTGGCCATGAAAAACACAGTTTTCAAGAAAAATTCAGTCTCTTGGCCCTTTTTTTTTTTTACTTGTATCTCTGTGAGATAGACCTTTACAAAGCTGTTCATGATTGGATTTCAGTCATACAGTATTCCCATACCCATCTCTCCACCAGTCTATATTTCCCAGTACCAGTGTACCCAGGTTCCCTCCCATCACCCCTCACCCCATGCCTGCCTCTATGGTAGACACTTTTTTTTTCTTTATTTATTGAATCACTGTGAGAAAAGTTACAAAGCTTTGAAGTTTTAGTCTCGGTCATACAATGATCGAACACCCTCCCTTCACCAGTAATTATTTTTCACCACCAAGAACCCCAATATATCCCCCTCCCACCCCTCCCGATGCCTGTGAGGCAGATAATTTCTACTTAGCTCTCTCTCTACTTCGATTACATTCATTACTTCGACAAAAGATGAACCATTATTGTTTGGAATTTACCCCCAGAAATCAGAACTGCTGAAAAGGCATGGTAAAATAATTTGTTTTCTACTGCTGGTTATGAAAACCATATGATGTGGTGTGGCCGCTATAGCGGCTGTGCGATTTTGGATTTCTGATATTTTACTAATTAAGTCTGGAGGAATTTCTGCCAAGAGCCGGATAATTACGAGATTGGTGTCTGTGCATCTGGTGCCATGGCCGTCGTGCCAGAGAGCCACTCGTGGGGGGCAGCTCGTGGCCTCAGTCGGGTGTGACGAGCTGGTTTTGTCCCCCTTCCCATGAGGCTGCAGTTGCCCTGTCACTACAAACTCATACCTTGCTTTCCAGTAAGCTCTGAGGCAGCGGCCACCATGCTGTTTGAGGGGAAAAAGGCAGAAGAGACAAATGCACCTTTCCCCTGGGGGGGTGAGGGGGGAATGGCACTGTAGTTTAACGAATAGTCCATTCACATTTCTGCCACAAGCTGCCGGGCTCTAAATTAAGTTCTTGTGCCTCTGGAGCCATGGCTGTGCCGGAGAGCCATTCGTGGGGGGCAACTCATGGCCTCAGTCCTATGGTAGACACTCTTGCTCTCCCTCTTCCTCTCCCTCTCCCTCCCTCTCCCCCTTTTTAGGTATTGGGTATTTTGGTTTATAATACTGATACTGGAAGGTTATCAAGAATATCCCTTAGCTACTTTTAACTAACCCTCAGATCTTGTCCAACATGAGCATTCCCAACTATTATTTTCTTACTGGTCTCTTCTCTATCTTACCTACTCTCAGACCCACACACACTTGTGGTTAGTCCCAGCCATTGACCAGTCCTCCTAACCCCTGTTTTCCCTGGCCATGGATATTAGTCTTCTAGTGTGTGTGTGTGTGTGTGTGTGAGACAAATGAATGCATCATTCTGTATCTGTCTCCTCTCACTCATTTCACTCAGCATGATACTCTCCATGTCCATCCATTTATAGGCAAATTTCATGACTTCATTTTTCCTGATAACTGTATTCCATTATGTAGATGTGCCATAGTTTCTTTATCCATTCGTCTGTTCTTGGGCACTCAGGTTGTTTCCAGATTCTGGCTATGGTGAATAGTACTTAGCCCTTTTTAAAGACTTATCACAAGCACATTTGAATATGAACAAAAAGAAATGTTCACACTAATCCAAGCCTTCTTGGGGTCTTTTTTTTAATCAGTTTTCAGAGATGGTGCCCACCTACTCTCCTGCAGTGAGAGGTAGAATAATTTTCCTCCCACACTGCAGCAGCAAGCGCATATGGGTGTTGGCCTTTTATATCCTCTGAGCTATGAAACACTACCTACATGTTTTTTTTTCTTACCCGTTTTCCACCCTTCACATGAGCATTTTAAAGTTGTATTTGCAAAATTGTCAGAACTTCATAACTGAAAATAAGGCTGCAGGTTTTTATTCTTACCACCTTTGAAGCAATTGCTGTGACAGGGTCAGGGTGCAGGTCTTTTGGGTAATGGGCATCTTAGTGTAGTATTAGTACATGAAGGTCCAGTACTAAGGACACTGCCCTATTTCTGAATGTTTTCCTTGACCACTTCTGCCATGTAGAGCCGTATTCTCAGAGAAGAGACTTGATTCTTTATTCATTTATTGCCTATTTCACAGTATGAGTTATGTGACGGTGTTAAAGACTTTATAGTTTTCTCCTAAAGTAGTTGCTCTAGATCCAGTGTTTTCCCAGATGGCCTATTGATTTTCTTACTCCCTGCAAGAAACTGAAAAAAAAAATTGTAGCATGTGATTGTAATGATTTGTGCTCTTTTTTTTTCAACTACCACATAATGTTTAAAGGCTTTAATAAAATCCTTTCATGGGCATCTTTAATTCTGTATTAGTAGATTAAAAGAGAAGGCCTTTTTCATATGAGGCCATCCATTTGTGTCTGGCTGTTCTTGTGAATGATTTTTATTGTGATTGTTCCATATGATAAGGCTTTATCAAAGTTCTGCCTACCAAATGCTATGACCACATCAAAAATATATTTAAAATAGGTTCCAAGCTTCATTTCCAACTTCGATTTAAGACTCATGCAAGTGTAATGTATAAAATAGATCAAGCAAATGGGCTTTTTGTGAAGTGGTCAGGCACTCTTCAGAATCAACAGGCTTACTTTACCTCTTTCCAATAGTGTTTCCTTTTGACACCCTAACTGATGTGAAGGAATTCTTTCCTTTAGTGTTGGACAGCCGTTTCAAGGATCTTACTTGGAAATCAACAAGAATCCCAAGTATAAGAAACTCAAAGATGCCATTGAAGAAAAGATTATCATTGCTGAAATTGTGAACAAAATTAACCGTGCTAATGGAAAGGTAAAAGCGCTAATAGTTCAGATCAGTCAGAAGAGTTTATCTGTTGGAATGGTTAGATTTGGCTACCTGAGTGATGAAATACTAATTTCCTATTCTTTGTAGTTACTCTATGGGGAACTGTTTTCCTTTACCATAAGGCTTAGGGATTTTACTTTGCCTTTGACATTTTTATAAACCAAAATGCACTGTTTGTGGATTTTGTTATATTCTCAGTAGGCCTGTAGAGAGAGATTGGAATAAGTTATGTGTTTCTGTAACTAACCAATGCTGTAAACTTACTGTCCTTCGGTGGTATTTTTGAATCACTGATTTTACATCCCTTTTTAAATTTTGTCTTAGAGTACATCCCGGATTTTCCTTCTAACAAATAATAATCTCCTCCTTGCTGATCAAAAGTCCGGTCAAATCAAGTCAGAGGTTCCTCTGGTGGATGTGACCAAAGTATCAATGAGCTCACAAAATGATGGTTTCTTCGCCATCCATCTCAAAGAGGTAAACATGTCACTACTCACAGAAGTGTATTTGTCTTGTCTTACCTTTGATTAGAAATATTTTATATCTGATTCTTTCTTTTACCTGAATTTATCTATTATTTCTGAGTTGCAACATTTGACTGTGTTCACTTGTATAAATCTTTAGCATGTTTTTTCAGGAAATGAGTAAGGCTTATCACTTTTATTGATTTGTTCACTTGAGTTTCTTAACATTTCTTGTTTTGGGGGCACTCCTGGTGATGGTCAGGGCTTAGTCTGGTTCTGTGTTCAGGGATCACTCCTTGCAAGGCTCAGCGGACCATATGGAGACTCAAACCCAGGTCAGGCACATGCAAGCAAATGCCTACCAAGTTTACTCTCACTCTGGCTCTCACTTGAGTTTTGAGTTCACTGAAGACAGCTTTTATTTGCACCCACCATGGTGTGCTTTATTTTAAGTCTAATAACACTCAGATATCGAGATATTTTGAATTATGCTTCCTCCTACTGCTTCTGTATACCAGCTTTGTTAATATCTTGCTGATCTTTAATTTGCATGGTTTTTATTTTTTTGAATGCAACTATACTAAAAAAAACTGCAAAATAACTTTCACCTAAAGGTTTATTGATGTTCTGAGTTAAACCAGGACCCTTTTCTGACTTGAGTCATTAAGAGCATAGACTCTTGAGTTGATCTCACTGACTTCGCAGTAGTCATGGGCCAAGTCATTTAACCTTATGCACCTACCTTACTTTTCTCTTTTGAAATAGGGATGAGAATAATACCTACACCGCAGCATTATAGTAAGAATTAAATGAAACACTATACAATAAAATAAACACTAGAAAAGAAAATACTTAACCTAGAACCTGTGAAAATATAGTCTTGAATAAACAAATATTAGCAGATACTAATTATATTTAGGAACATACATCTAAATATTACATATAAATAATCAGCCTTTCCCCTGACTGGTTCTAAACTTAGAATAATTCCTTAAGTTTAATTTAACCTCTTTTCCCCACAGGTAAATCTTTACCTAAAGGGGTCATCTCTGATTTTATCATAGTGGTTCTCATAGTGTTGATTGATCTTTAAAGCAGCCCTAATGCCCGGACCCTCCTCCAGTTCCATCTCATCAGTTATCTGGGTAGGGACACAGATGTTCTGTGTTTGAAAACTCCCAGATGTGTTCTTTGTGCAGTGACTTTGAGAGCAGCTGCCTAGGGTTTTTGTTGCAAGTATTATTGTCATGCTTACTTTTTAAAAACTGAATCACCAAGAACGCTTTAAACAGCACTTTCAGAGTGAGTTATAGGTTAGGTCGGTGCTTCTTGAACCAGATTGTAAATAAACCAACCAGGGACCTCATTGTGGATTCGCCCTGCAGTAGGATTGAGGTTCTGCTTTTCTAACAAGCTCCCAAGCGATGCAGATGTGCTTCTGGTCCAAGAAGCAGCTTGTAGGGAGCTGGGGGTTAGGTAACCTTACTCAAGTGTTCTGACCAAGATGAAAGAAAATACTGCTTTTGTCTTTACTGTTTATGCATGGGGGGTGGATGCCAGACTTATATTGCTTTAAAAGTGCTATAAATTTTCTCTAAGTAAAAACCCTGTCTTTACTTCGCAAGATACATTTAATTTTCATAGTCTGATTCTTAGTTTGTTGTTTCAGGGCTCTGAAGCAGCTAGTAAGGGAGACTTTCTCTTCAGCAGTGATCACCTGATCGAAATGGCCACCAAGCTGTATCGAACAACTCTCAGCCAAACCAAACAGAAGCTCAATATTGAAATTTCTGATGAGTATGTTTCTCAATTGTTCACATACGTATTTTCAGTGTTGTTACTTTGATTGCGCATTCTGACTTCATTTATATAACATCTGCTTTCTAAGGACCAAGTATGTGTTTGGTATTTGTTCTAGGTGGTAGTTGGGCAATGACTGGCAGTGACCGGGTCCCCCACTAATGTACCTGAAATCCTAGCATAAGAGCCTGATGTGCGCAAATAAAAGCAGAGAGGAAATGCCATTGACTGTTGACAAATATTTGTGGATTAAAAGAAAACATAGAGTGGGTGACAGGGTATATTTCTATAGGGAAGTCAGGAAACCTCTCATGCAAAGACACTTGTGAGGATCTTGGAATGGGCCAAGTCTGGAAAGGTGCTTTATGCCAGGGAGGCAGAAGATGCAGAGATCTGAGATCGGAGTAAGTTCTGTGACAGAACACAGTGGTGAGGAAACCCAGGGAGAGGCAGGGGACAGACTGCAAAACTGTAGCTTAGTGGAGAGCTGAGATTTTACTGGCACTAATGAAAAGCCATTATAGGGTGAGGCATGATTTGATTTAGGATTTTTTTTCTTTTTTTTTTTTTAAGTGAGTCACCATGTGATACAGTTACAAAGCCTTATGTGCCTAGGTTTCAGTCATACGGTGTTGCAACATCCTTCCCTCCACTAGTGTACATTTCCCACCACCAGTGACCCCAGTTTCCCTCCACCACCCCTCCCCCCCCAACACCCCACCCCCAACACAGAAGAACAGAGAGAGGGAATTTTCAAAGGTTGTTTTGAGTAACAATAGAAAAAAATAGGAAAGCAAGAGTAGAAGAGAGAGACAGGAGCTTCTCCAAGCTGTCTTGGGAAAGGTTTAGGGTATATGTTTCAGGTAGGTGAGAATTAGTCAGATTCTAAATGGAACTGGAAAGAAAACAAATGAACTAAATGGATTTAGGTGGTAGGTTTGGCCAAGGTCTAAATCTAGTAAGTGGCATCAAAGAAAAAGGGTGATCTGGCATGGTGAAGTGAAGAGTACTTTTGGGATGTGTTAGATTTGAGATAACTTTGTTCATGTACAACAAAATAATTATGGAATAATAGCTTTTGAATGTTAATACGCCACGGATTTTAATTTTGGGTTTTATTGGGGGGGTTCTAATTGTAGAGACTATTCATATACACTTATTCAACTGTTGGTAGATTATTTTAATGAATTTGAATTACTCTATTGATTTTCTGTGTGCTTATTTACTGTACATGCATAGTAAAAAATTGCAAAGCCAGATTTCTCAGGAAATGACTTTATTTTCTAATGAAGATTTAGTCCGCCTTTTCTATTTTCAACTTTTCTTATAATTCTTTCTAAAATAAACCCATGCCCATTCCTCTCTCTTCATAAGGCAAATTCTTTATTTGGTATGTGGGAATTTGCATGTCTTCAGGATTATTATGGTCTGTTCTCTGTGTGCAGTGAGAGTTTGTACTTCAAGGAAGAGTGGCCCACCCTGACAATTGCAGCTTGGACTGAATCACTTATTACTGAACAAGTGTCATAAAAAAAATACTGGGGTGATGGGGGGGCTGGAGCAATAGCACAGTGTTAGGGTGTTTGCCTTGCGTGCAGCCAGCCCTCCCGAGCCGGGTACAATTTCTCCACCCCTCTCACAGAGCCTGGCAAGCTACTCAGAGTATCTCACCCGCACGGCAAAGTCTGGCAAGCTACTCGTGACGTATTCAATATGCCAAACACAGTAACAACAAGTCTCAAAATGGAGACGTCACTGGGCCCGTGCGAGCAAATTGATGAACAACAAGAGGACAGTGACTGACAGTGAGGTGATGGGGAAAGTAATGAATAATTAGATTCCATTCATTTATGATTTCAATCTTTTAAGGCCTATTTGAGCTTTAAACTGCCTCTAGGTTCTTTTTTTTTTTTTAATAATTTCAGAGCTGCTGTTTCCTCGTCATCACAGGAAGGTTCTACATGTTCCAGATGCAGAAACTCATTGGTCTATAGACAAGGGAACCTTGTCCTTGCTGCCTGCATTAATAAGAGAAAGGACACCCCAGCAGAGGATTGCTTCTTTTTTTTTCCTTTTGGGTCATACCAAGCGATGCACAGAGGTTACTCCTGGCTCTGCATTCAGGAATTCCCCCTGGTAGTGCTCAGGGGACCATATGGGATGCTGGGAATCGAATCCGGGTCGGCCACGTGCAAGGCAAATGCCCTACCCACTGTGCTATCGCCCCAGCCCTGGATTGCTTCTTTTAAGCAAAGCATTACCCCAACTGGCATTTCTAAAACCCTGCCTTGGGAGAATGTAATAACAAAGTGTAGTGAAGAACATGTTCTCTGGAAATAAAAGCCCTTCTCTACTGTGGCACGTCCCAGAGTCTCTGCAGTCTCATTGCACATTAGGAACTACCTAAGGGGCATTGGAGGATGGATAGCTTGTCTTCTTGTGCTTTGTATTCCAAATGTCAGCCACCACAGAAAGCCTCAGTGGCCTTCACAGTTTGTTTGACTCACACAACCAAGGATGTGTTCTGGGCGCTAATTTAGCTTTGGGGTGACCTAGACCCTATCTTGTCTCAGAGAGGCGTAGAATGTTCTAGGCATGTCAGGTTTCAGTAAACATGCTGGTCTGAGTGAAGATTTATAATGTGGCCATGTGAGGAAAACATTTATTAGCAGTATAAATCAGTTCATGACAGCTCCTCTTCCTTTCTTTCACCTCCTTTCCAACTCTTAACCGTTGGTCAGTCTCATACAATAAAACAGCCCAGGGATGCTTGCCTAGCCTTGTGGCCCTGCGTGGGCAGCTCAGGAAACCTGGAGGGAAAGGTTTTGGTATAGCCTATTTAATAACTCTGTGTGCTTTCATGCAGGGCTTAGCTATCTCCTTAGGGAGCATTTTAAATTTAAGCAAAATTTTACAAAGTCATGGACGGGGTCGGAGGGGTGGGGGCGGTGGATGGAATTTCTGTGCCAAAGTATGCTTAGTTCATTTCATGGCCATCTGTACAGATTTTGTGTGGTAAACAGTGTGTAGTGCAGTGACTGGTACCATCCTCAATGGAAACTTTTCATAATTAGAAGCAGTTATTCTAGCAAAATCTCCATAGTCAACATGGGTAAACTGGATCAGTTTACATAGGAGACTCAAAGTCTTGTTTACTCCCTATCGAAGTTTTAACCTGCACATAAAGAAATGAAAGTTGAATTCAAACAACCCAGTTGCCTTGTAAATCCCAGTCCATAAACTTCCAAACCACGTACTCTGTAAATAGATCCCATTTTAGGGATCAACTGTGAGGTATACATTATTTCTAAAAGTGAAGTTCTGCATGTAGTGAAAACTAAAGTAAACTTATTCTCTGAAACACTGAAGATATATTTACTTCCTTCTGTGCAAATATACATAGGAAATATATTGTCTAAATTATTTCAGTAATTTTATGATATTTCAAAAATTAAAGCAACTAAGCTATGTTTCTTTTGCTATGAGGTTGTAACTGGTATTGATGCTGTAGAATAAATTGTTTAACATTATTAATTGCTGGAGAATGATTATATGATTCTCCATTCTCTTACTGTGGGTCCATTTCTTTTTCTCTAAGAAAGCAGTTTATCCACCTCATAATGTCAATAATAAAATTTGCCTACTATAAATTTCTAGAGTAAAACACAGTCATTGAGAATGGTGATAGCCAATGCAAGCTAATGTTTTTGGGAAACATTTTCAGGAAAGAGTTCTCTATACATTATATTAGAACTGCTCTTTGAAAATTAAATTGTAGACAAAATTGATTCCTTAATATACATATTTGTGTTACACCTTAAAGATTTTTTTGAGTTGTCTAGATGCAAGCGTTTTGTTTGTCTTGGTTGAGTTTTTAATCTAATTTTTTTAGTTAGACGCCATAATTTACAAAGTTAACTCATAGCTGAGTTTCAGGTATACAATTTGCCAAATCTGCTCTATCACTAGTGCCAGCTCTCCTCCACATGTCCCCATTTACCTTCCTACTCTCCAACCTGTCTCCTTGACAGGCACATTATTTTTTATTAATGAAACACGATGAGGTACAGTTGTAGACTCAAAGATTTTTGTGCTTGGGTTTCAGTTATACAATGATTGAGTACCCATCCCTCCACCAGTGCCCATTCCCCACCTGCAATGCTCCCGGAATCCCTCCCACCACCCCACCCCACCCCTGTGGCAGGGCATTCCCTTTTATTCTCTCTTTCCTTTTGGGTGCTGTGGTTTGCAAAAGAGGCATTGAGTGACAATCATGTTCAGTCTATAGTCTACTTTCAGCATGCATCTCTCATCCTGGGAGGATCCTCCCAACACCCTTTATTTGGTACTCCCTTCTCTATCTGAGCTGCCTTCTCCCCCAGCATATGCGTCTGGCATCCAAGCCATGGAGTGAACCTCCTGGTACTTATCTTGGCTATTTTTGGGTGTTAGTCTCCCAATTTGTTACTTTATATTCCCCAGATGAATGCAGTCTTTCTATGACTGTCCCTCACATTCTGACTCATTTTGCTTAGCATAATACTTTCCATGTAGTACCACTTGTATGTAAATTTCATGACTTCATCTTTTCTAACAGCTGCATAGTACTCCATTGTGTGGATGTACCAAAGTTTCTTTAACCAGTCATCTGTTCTTGGGCAATTGAGTTTTTTCCAGATTTTGGATATTGTGAATAGTGCAACAATGAACATAAAAGTGCAGATGTTCATTTCAACTGTACTTTTTTGTTGACAGGCACATTTTTAAGTTTGGTTATTGTAGTTTAGATCTGTCTCATTGTTTTCAGTTTTGTTTGGTTCTGTGGTCTAACTATTCACTTAAATTTTCTTTTTGAGGGGAGCTTGTGGCTTACTTTTGGCTCCAGATTCAAGGATCACTCCTGGCTCAGGGAAATGTATGCAGTACCAAGGATCCTACCAGGGTTGGCCATGTGCAAGGCATGTGCATTAATCCCTGGACTATCTTTTTGGCCTGAGATGCAAGTATTTTAGAGAGATCAAGTAGGCAAATTTAGAACTGTCCTATAGCATTTTCCCTCCAGTGCTTTCAAGTTGAAAAGAAAGAACCCTTTTAAAAGATCAGATGTACAGTCATTTTATATCCAGTGATTCATAAGCTTATGTGTCATGTTCCACTTCAGTAGAAGTACAGAGCAGAGGTGCTTCGATTTTAGCTCTTGCTGTCAGTAGGCTTATAATCTCACACATAATTGTTAGAGGGACTCGATTACATACCCAAACCTCTGAATACTCATGTGGTGAATGCAGTAGAAACATGGAACGTTACACTGTTTCTGGTGGTAGAAAGAAGGAACAAGGCTTTGAGGTGTCAGAGCTTGGGATCGGAGGCCACCCTGCTCCTCTCCCTCATGGGTATCAGCCAGCAGTGTAGATGTTTGTTGTAGAAAAGCCCAAGGAATGGTTTGTGGATAAGCTCTTCTAGGCCTACTGTGAAGACAAAGATATGAACTGGAAAGTTTTCCCATATGTGCCACATATACCACATGGTACAGTATAGAAGAGATGACTTTATGTATATGTTTACGTGTTTTTAATTTTATAATTTTCTGTATAGATAATTGAATGGGTATTGAAAATGTAAGTGGCAGTCAACCTTGTAATTTTATGTTTATTCTGTAGCTCACGGCTATTTTGAAATATGTTTATTTAGGATAGAAGTCAGTATTCACATAGAGTGAGTATGGAACACAAATCACATAGGAAACACTTGAATAGTCCTGGAAACTGTTCTGGAGGGTTCTTCTTTCCCTTCCCCTTCTGAATTTCTTTATACAAATCTCTCAGTTTGATGTAATTTTAATGAAAGTCCCTTCCTCCATTTCTAGTTTTATTACATACAGGTGAAGGGGAAAGGAAAAGTAGTATGCTGGTCTTTGCATTTGAAAGACAGAAGTAATTCATTTAATCGCTGCTTTCCTTACGGACTATGATGAGTTAATGTATTTCAAAGCTGTGACAGCCAGTGGTACCTGCAGTGTAATACCTGATGTTGTGAATCGAAGCATAGGAGTGCTTATGTTAGGGGCAATACTTATTGATATCAAATACTGATTAAAAAACAATAGCTAGTATTAGCATAATCATCTCAGCAGTTGTGTTTGTGCTTTAATCTGTTTCATTCTCTTCTTCTAGGTTCCTGGTGCAGTTCAGACAGGACAAAGTATGTGTGAAGTTTATTCAGGGCAACCAGAAAAATGGGAGTGTGCCAACTTGCAAACGAAAAAACAACCGTCTCCTTGAAGTTGCAGTTCCTTAAATCTCCTCTCCTCTGCTTCCATGGACTTGTTTCTTTGTAATAGTGCAATTTGGTTTGGTTTCATTTGGGCTCATTTTATGTTTGAGAATTGCCAAAGACTAATACTGTTAGAGTTCTTGGCAAAATAAAAACATTTGACTAATCCATTTTTTTATTATTGGAATAGTTTTAACCCTTAAAGTACACATTCTGTCCTGGAACAGAATGTAAAAACTAACATCTCTATATCACATTTTATATGTTCTTTTTTAGTCATCCAGTTAGATCTGTGTACCCTCCATCTGCATATTACTCATAAATCATTAATACATCTAGGTCTAGGAAGTGTTCTTAAAAGATAATGCGTTCACGCATCAAGTATTTATTAAATGCCTACTGTGTGCTGTATGGGCACTGTGCTAGATGATCTTACTAAGAACCCTTTTGTGATTTTAGGGCAATTGCATTCTGGCTGGTTTCTACTAGCTTTACTAAGGCAAAAAGAATGAAAATATTGAAACCAAAAAGAGTAACTGTTAATGATAGACAGCATCATTAGGAACCCTAACAATGGTCTTTAGTGGTGGATTCTACAAGGACTGGTCCTCGAGGTAGAAATAAATAGCCAGGTACAATGCCTGTATATGTGGTTTCTGTCTGAAAAGAAAAAAATAACATTTGAACAGGACCTTGAATTTGTTCAGATCTCTTGCTTTTAAACAATAGAAAAAAGGAGTCATTCTTATTTTAGAAAAAGTAACACAAGCAGCTTATGAGATTATTTTTTCCTGTTTCTGGAAGATATCATACATGATCTTAGATCTGCTAATATCTGCAATATGTTGTTTTCACCCAGATTCAAGAAGTTAATACAGTCAAGGACTGAAAGCCTTTCACATAGTGGCAAAGCATTCTATACAATGTGCAATAAACCTCTGTGATCTTTTTTTTGGAAGTTTTATTTATAATGTTCATTTTGTGTGAAAGAGGTGATTGGTACAGGGTGCGTATTTTAGTCAGGATCAAAATTAAATTGTGTTACTTTGCAGGACTTTTGTTCAAATTTACAAATTAAGGATTCATTTTGGAAGCTTACACTTTAAACATTGGAATAAAATAATTTCTTATTTGGGAGGATAATGTATATACATTGATATATTAAATAATAAAGCTCTTCTAATTTGGTGCCATTTTCTGAATCACAACTGTATTTTTGTATTTCAAGCTATTTTCTTATGTTGTGTGTCAATGTGTGTATTGTCACACAGGAAGGCTTTGCAGTCCAAATGTGTTATGTTTGCAATGTAATTGAAGTTCACTTACCTTTATAAACCAGAAACATTCATTGAAAATATTTTCTGCGGATTTTCCTTTGACTCTGTACTTTAAAAAATTTTCTGGTGCTGGAGCGATAGCACAGCGGGTAGGGCGTCTTGCCTTGCACGCAGCCAACATGGCCGACCCGAGTTCGATTCCTCCGCCCCTCTCGGAGAGCCCGGCAAGCTACCGAGAGTATTCCATATGCCAGACACAGTAACAACAAAGTCTCCAATGGAGACGTTACTGGGCCCGCTCTAGCAAATCGATGATCAACGGGAGGGCCTTTACTTTTCTGTCATAAAATTCTGGAAGCTTTTGTGTTTATTGCAGCAAATAGAGGATTCAAGACCTTTCCTTTGGTCTTTTCCAACATGTACCTAAAGAGGTAGATTGATGAACTTCTGAAATAGGTGAGTAGAAATGGAAAGGATTTGGTTTTTTTAAATGTTTTTTAAAATATGTAATATATTCACATTGTTATCAGACAAATTAGTATAAAAAGATAGCTCACTAGAGCCAGAGAAATAATACATAGAGTAAGGCCTTGCCTTGCTTGCATGTGGTTGACCTGGTTTCGATCCCCCAGATCCCATGTCGTCTCTCAGGCCTGCCAGGAGTGATTCCTGAGTACAGAGTAATCCCTGAGCATTGCTGGGATTACTCAGGGATCACTCTCCTCTCCTCCCCCAACATCACCCCCCCCCAAAAAAAAACAATTCACATTCTTCATTCTGTAGTCTCCAGTCTGTTCCTATGCTCTCCTCAAAGTGAGTCACTATGTTTGATTCTTTTGTATTTTATACATATGCTTACTGAAGGAAATAAAATACTCTCTACTACTATCGTAGTAGGTAAAATATTTCTACTACTATAGTAGTAGGTAAAAATATTTTTGTTGTTTTTCTTTGGGGCTTAGGGGCCACACCTGTTGGTGCTCAGGGCTTATTCCTGGCTCTGCTCAGAGATTACTCCTGATGAGTTCATGTACTGGAATGAGCTTGAAAGACAGGAAGAGCCTCAAACGCAATTAGAGAGTGTTTTTCATTTCACTTAAGGAAGGTAGATTTACGGGGGGGGGGGGGGGGGGGTACTTATTGATTTTTTTCTGAAAAAACAGGCAGTAATTCAAATACATTGGGAATGTTGGGTCTTCTGGATTCATAGAAGTCATGTTTGAAAAATAAACTGGTTATGAGAGTCCATTTGTAATATCAAGGTTTTCCACATGCAAAACAAGCATCATACCATACTGTATATCTCTGGTCTAAAATTACTACATTTATTACATTTTTCTGTACTTTGCCTTTTTCACTCAGCATAATGCCTTGAAGAATGCTTAATTGTATGGGTATACTGCACTGTATTTCCCCCTCAGAGATCACCTGCAGGTTGTTCTCTGATTGGAGGTTTAACTTCAAGATAGAGAGGGCCAATAATCCATTAATCTACTTGAATATATAGATTTTTGAAATTCAGCATGAAAACATCCTCTAACCAGGATAAAATTCGCCTAGTGTTCACTGAGTCAAATTAATCATGAGAGCCAAGCATCCTTGAACAATACAGTCCCAACCAAGAGTTCTTAGTGCGTGCTTCAAATGTATGTAGTAATCCTTTCTTCATGGGTTATAATAGCTAATGTGTTGACTGACTCTCAGGGGTGTCTTGCATTCACTGTTGGGGAAAGCAGTGTGACTTCCCCACACTAGAAATGAAGAGAGCTGCTTTATCCAAGGTAACAGTATAGAGCAAAACATTGCAGTCAGCCTGGGTCAAAACCCAAGGAAAGTTTTGTTACCTTAAATAAAGTGATGTTTTATTACTTTTTTTTTTTTGGCCTGGCCCAGGGGACCATATGAGCTGCCAGGATTGAACCTGGGTTGGCTATGTGCAAGGCAAGAGCCATACCACTATACTGTGTTTCTAGCCCAGGAAAATTTGGTTTCGTTTGGTTTGGGGGGTGGGGGGTGTCACTCATCAGTGATCAGGGCTTACTCTTGGCTCTGGGCTCAGGAATCATTCCTGGCAAGACTCAAGGGACCATACAGGGTGCTGGGGATAGAACCACATGCAAGGCAAGCACCCTTACCCGCTATACTATTGCTCCAGCCCTAGAAACGTTTGCTTTAAGAAAACAAGAACAAAGCTTCACAATCTTGGGCCAACAGAATTAGGCTATTCAGATTTGATTTTAAAAGCAACACTTTAGGAAAATCTCCCTGTGACCAGACAAGCGTATTATAATTGGAAAGTCACTTAGAAATGTATAAGACTTCCTTTGTAGTTGCACACAGCAGACTGTCCTAACAGTTCCTCCAGATAGTGATTCTAATACACACTGAAATGTCTAGAACTGCTTTATAACTGCACCTGTCCAGAACTGCTTTGTAACTGCACCTGCCGAGGTCCATCCTACCTCTAACACTGGATCCACTTTAAGAGTGTGAGTGACTGATTCTTCCTTTAACTTTGAGTTTCTGTTGCTGCTCTACTGTGTAGAATTGTGGCATTGCACAATGTCCTTCTTGTAGCTAGTTCCAAATCATCACTTAGTTTCTTTACTCCGGGAGTAATTTTTAAGTCCCAGTATTTCCTACAGGGGCCAAGCAAGATGGGAGGCAGGTGCTGGAATGAGCTTAAAAGACAGGAAGAGCCTCAGATGCAATTAGAGAGTGTTTTTCATTTCACTTAAGGAAAGTAGATTTCCAGGGGGGTACTTATTGATTTTTTTTTCTGAAAAAACAGGCAGTAATTCAAATACATTGGGAATTTTGGGTCTTCTGGACTCATAGAAGTCATGTTTGAAAAATAAACTGGTTGTGAGAGTCCAAAATCTAATCGTGGCAGTTGCCAAGTTTGCAGTGTGATGAATGTAGTTAATCTTGACTCTGACTTGCATCTACTACCATAGGGCAAGAAAGGAACCTGAGAATAGTTACTCTCTAATATACTTGTTAGTTTTGTTTGTCACATTCTTGGAACAGTAACTTGGACACAACACTCAACACTCGGATGTAAGACCCTCCATTCAAGGTTGAATATCTTTGCTCATTCCTCAGGGGTCATGGCATTGTTCAAAGAACCAGGGTCAAGAGTTATGAGAACCATAGGCACATCCTCAATGTAGAGGATTTGAGTGCAACTGAAGAAACCGAACTGTCATAGCCATGCCATTTTGATAAATATGCAGAATAAGGATTCTCAAATAGATATAATTAGATATAATTGTGATAATTAGCGTGTGGCTTAAATTTTTCTTTGACTAGATATAATTAATAAACAGCACAATTTTTATATACAGCACATGATAGGTAAGGTATTTTGTCCTAAAATGTTCAAATAGCAATCACTCTTAAAAAAAAATCTGTATTGTTGAGGGGTGAGAGATTTGGAGATCAAATCCCTTAATACGTCGATTAAATTTAATATTTTTCAGAATGTGCTATAGTAAGAGACTTTTTTTAAATACTGGGTATTGTTTTCTGTAAATAATTGCAGCCATCCAAGTTCACTGCAACCAGACACTGAGGGGAAGAAGAAAGAAAACAGAGGACAGTAGGCTTTTCCTTCCTCCAAGTGAACCAAACAGCAGTGTGCCTGCATTGTCCATTTGCAAATCTGTTGTTGAGGAATGACTTGTTGGAATGACTGTTTTTTGGAATCTGATTCTAACAGTTGTAGGGATTCTATAGATTCTGTTGTATGCTGATTCATGTTCTGATTCGCTTGGTGGCTGTGACGAGCTGGTGTCAGCTAGTCTCAAGGAGAAAATGAATGGTTTGGAGTTGGTATGTCCCAAGTCTTGGAACTCTTTGCCTCCTTCTCTCTGATTTGAGGACCTTTTTCAAAATCTGGAATTGATCAGAGCATAGCAGAAGCCACAGTCATCCTCATTCACTGTTTTCTGCTGGCATGGTGGCCAGACCCCCTCTGCTCAGTTTCAGAAATTCACCAGAAATCCAACTTTAAAACCACAGAAAATAGTCTCAACTTTATAGAATTTAAGGAGAAAATTGGGGACAGAACTTAATTTCATAGTTGCCCAAACATATCTCAGTACTGAGAGAAATGTAAACTGTCTCACTTCTGCTGATTTTTGTTCCTTTTAATTTTGAAAATAACTGGTACTGCATTAGTTTTACAACATACTGATTTGATAAACATTTATAGTGAGATACTTAGCAAAATTTATTTACTATCCTAATACCTAACAGTTACAAGTTTTTTATTCTGATGAGATGTATTAGAATTACTCTTAAATCATTTTGCTCATTTGATCAGTTTCCAATGTTCCCATCTTTTCTTTCTTTAGTTGAAAGGATTATGCCTAGAAGTTTCTAAGGGGGTCACATAGGAAATTTAGATACTTCCTTGAACTATATTGATTGTATGTAGTATTTTGGTTTTCCACTGACCCAGTAGTTCCTGTCTATATTACTAATAATCCCTGTTTTAAAATTTTCATAACATCTTCACAAAATTACCAGCTTTTGTGAACATATGCTTTGGTTCTTAGGTGATAAATATTTCCCTCTCAATTTAGATTCATCTCTGGGTTCCTCTAATCGAACTGTCCTTTATAACCCGTGATCTTGTGTGACAGTAATAGTTCATAAACAAGGCCCAATATGTTAAAGGTAAAATCCATAGCTTGATTCTCTAATGTTCCCACACTTTTCATTTTTTTTAAATTATTCTAGTTAAACAGCCTATTCTTCCTGTTTGTGGTTCTCAGCTACTTCAAACTGCCTTTCCTAATATGATTGCTACAAGCATAGCTTTCTGCATTTTTTTGTTTTGTTTTGTTTTTATCCTTTGTTTATTTTTAGATTGGCTTCATCCAGACAACTGGATAAAGAAACTATGGTAC